AGACAGGATGTTCCATCAGGGCTCCTGGGCTGAGCGGAGCACCAGCTACCCAGAGAAGGGATTGAGGTTGGCTTGGGAGATGCTAAAACCAGGCGCCACCTGTCACTCCAGCCTGACAGCTTGGGAGTGCCAGGCACAGCCGTGCTCTGAGCCGTGGGGACAGCAGTTGTGGATGGTCCCCAGGCTGGCCTCCCCCAGCCTCAGCTGTCCCATCTACAGAATGGGCAGAAGGCAGCCAGGAGTGCCCCCGGCAGCAAAGGGAGAAGAGAATGGGTGTCACCCGTCAGTTCATCACTCCCCCTGCCCCTGCTCCCAGCCACGTGAGCTCAGAGAGAAATCTGGACATGGCCTGGGGAGTGGTTAGCTCAGATCTCTGTCCCATGAGGGGACCAAGAAGAGGACCCAGGGTCTGGGTGAAGCCCTCAGTGGTGGCCGCCTGCCTCCACAGCAGCAGGGAAGCAAGTGGCTCTCAGCAGGTGACCTCTCCTGGGGGACAGGAGGGGTTCCCACATCTTTCTTCCACTGCTGGTGGGAGCCAACACCTTCCTCCGAGAGCCCTGGCTCCTGGACCCAGCTCCGCCACCAGCTGCTCTGCCCACCTGGGCCAACCCCTCCGCCTTGGTTTTCCCATTTGTGAAATTCTGGTTTGGTTGGCTCAAGACAAAGGAAGACTGGGAAAGCTATGGGGGACCAGTGCCATGCTGGCCCATTATCGCCCACAGCGCAGCAGACGTGCCTGTGGAAGGAATGCCAGGGTCTTGGCATCCCTGCCACGTGGGTTCCAGATCTGCGGGGCTTCAAAGGGAAACTCACCCCCCGTGGCAAGTGATGAAAACAGCCCAGCAGGGGAGAGGTGACGGGGCACCGGCTGAACAAACAGCAGCTCCCATGGGACCAGGGCTGGCCTTTCCCCTGTGGTCCAAGCCTGACACCTGGGCTTTCTTTCCGCTGGCAGCATGACAGGTTTATAGACAGGGCACTTGGGTGTCAATGATGTACAGGCGGGGCAGCACTGTGTGTGTGCACACATGTACACCTTGGCACACGCCAGGAAGCGAGTATTTCATACAGGCCACACTGAGTGTGCCATGGCATCTGCACTGTCCTACTCCATGAGCAGGCTAAGAATATATTAGGAGTAGGTGAACTGCAGCCCACTGGTCCAGTCCACTGGCTGCCTGCTTTCTCACAGCTTATGAGCTGAGCGGTTCTTAAATTTTCAAATGGTTGGTGCGTGGGGGCCAGAGCGGGGAAAGAAAGGAGAAGAATATGTCATGACCCGTGAAAATGATATGAAATTCAAATTTCAGTGGCTGCAACTAGTTTTACTAAGGCACAGACCCATTCATTCATTTGCATACTGTCTGGCTGCTTTCAAACTAAAGCGGCAGAGTCAGGCTACAGCGGCAGTTACGATGGAGACTGTAGGATCCACAGAGGCTAACCTATTTCTATCTGACCTTATCAGAGAGTCTGTGGTGCCAATGTCAGGGTCACTGGGGCATGTTGCTACCTCCCACAAAAACTTAAAAGTTCTGCTGCAATGAATTTGTCAAGAATCTTACAGTTAGAAAATCTAGGGGACTTCCCTGGTGGTTTAGCGGCTAAGTCTCTGTGTTCCCAATGCAGAGGGCCTGGGCTCGATTCCTGATCAGAGAACTAGATCCCACATGCCATAAAGAAAAGACCCCGCATGACTCAACAATGAAGATCAAAGATGCCATGTGCCTCAACGAAGACCCAGAGCAGCCAAGTAAATAAATAAAAATAGATATTAAAAAGAGAAAAATCTAAAGAGAGGCTGTATTCATTTCAATACATACATGCGAGCTTTGGGTTTATAACACAACTTTATATTGTTTTGTGTGTGTGTGTGCCACAATCTTCAAGATTTAGGATCTCCTCCTCATCTGTCAGGTATCTGTAGTGTTCAATACATGCTGGATACATGGTGGGTAATCAGTTAGTTAAGGTCTGTGGGATAAAATAAGGTGTGTGATTCTCTCCACCAACTCAACAACCATGCTGGCAAAATGATACTCTTGGGCATCTCATGGATGTGGAAACTGAGGTCTGGGGAGGTGACAATGGCTGCTCGAGGCTCTTCCCTGAATCATGAAGGGTGAGGATCAGATGTCCTCCCTTGATTTTGTATTGATCCTGGGAGAAGTGGGTGAGCACATTATAACACTCCTAGTGGGAGACATCTTGCCTCTCCCTCTGGCAGTTATCCGGGCATCCTAGGTCTCCTGCTGGCCCCAGAGGTTTCCAGGCTTTCCTCCCTCGCTGGGGGGTCTTGGCAGGCTCCCAGGAGCCTGTGGAGAGCTGAGTGGTTTTTTTTTTTCTTTTTCTCTTTTCCGGCAAATAGGGGGCAGGTGTGGAGTGAGCAGCTCCTGGAGGGGGCAGTGGGAACATGATTGACACTGAACTTCTGGGGGATCTAGCAAGGCTGACCCATAAAAGGAATGCAATTAACAGTAAGGGGCCCCTGAAAGGGGGGATGGAGGGAGTTTGGGGAGTTGGGAGCCCAAGTGAGGGTGTGGGAAGGGAAAAGGAGCCCAGAACAGAGATGTGGGGATCACAGACAAGCTGGCCAACTTGGCGGCCTCAAATGGGGCAATTCCTGCTTCTGAGGACTACCTGTCAGGCCCTGGAAAACTCTCCCCATGCCCAGCACTAGCTCTGAACCTGTAGAACGCTTTGTCAGATGTCTGCCCTCCACCAGAGATGGTTCTGGAATAAGCCAGAGTGAATGGGGCAGGGGATGCCCAGCAATTCTTCATCAGGGACTCTGTCTCTCTGGAAGGATCGGCACAAGAGCTCGACGGTGACTTCTTCTACCCTCAGGATAAAATCCAGAGCCCCTTTCATGGCTTTCCAGGGCTATATGTCCAGCCCCTGCTCAAACTTCATCTTTTTTTTTTTTTTAAAGGTTTTTATTTTATATTGGGATATAGCCAATTAATAACCCTGTGATGGTTTCAGCAAAGTGACTTAGCCACACATGTATTCATTCTCCCCCAGTCCAACCTTATCTCATACCACCTCCCTTCATCCACCACACTCCAAACACAATGGGTTTGAATGTACTCTGCTCCTTCCTGCCACAGGGCCTTTGCACTAGCTGTTCCCTCTGTTGGGAAGCTGTTTCCCTCAAACATTCTTTAGATTTCTAGTCAAACCTGACTTCCTCAGATGAGCCTTCGGTGACCACTACTCGACCAAGTTTATTCCATGTTCTGAGACCTGCAACTGATTATCTGTGTGGTTAATGTGTTCCTGTGCTTGCCAACTACACAGGGGTCTCCTGCATAGGCCCTCCACAAATAGACCTCTACTCTGGACCCCGGCTGTCTTTCTTTCTGGTTGTGCCACACAGCTTGCAAGAATTGAATCCAGGACATGGCAGTGAAAGCTCTGAGTCTTAACCATTGGATTTCCCTGACCCTGGCGGTCTTGCCCCTTACAGTATTCCAGCGCTCAGCACGGGGGTCTGACACACAGGAGGTCAGTAAGTCGATGATGGCATGAATGAACAAATGGTACCACCAGTGACCGCTGCCAATTCCCAGAGTTTGGGGACACAGATGTATGGAAAAGTCACAACAAACCATTTGTCATGAAGTCACCTGCTTCCACATGTGGGGACCACCCAGTAGGCACCAAATGATGTTCTAGAGTGGAGCTAGCCACTTGAACTCTCTTCGATGGTGGCAGTGTTCTGGACCTGCTGTCTAGTATAGTCGCCACGAGACACCTGTGGCCACTAAGCATGTGGATGTGGCTAGTGGGAGCAAAGAACTAAATTTTAAATTTGATTTAATTTTAATTAACATAAATTTCAATAGCCACAAGGGCTTAGTGGCTATCATGTTGGACAGTATAGCTCTAGAGAGATAGGATGTGTTCTATTATCCCCAAGGCTGTTACATGCAGTTCTATCATCTAGGAAGTCATTGCAGCTCCCTCAAACCTCCATCACTGGATTCCTGAGGGTGATCATGTCAAGGATTCTTGGCAGCTTCTAAGAGGCAGGACCTTGCCATCTTGTCACTGCCCACCAAGCTTTTCATACAGACCACCAGGCAACAATGACTCAGGCAGGTCCCCACAGTGATGGCAAACAGAAATGCTGTTTTTAATCACATCCTCGTTTTTATCACCATCATCACCTATCACATGACACCAAGACTGCCATCAGCCTCATTCTCTCCACCATGACCACCCCATCACACCACTCCCAAGACCACCACCAACACAACCATCACCACCACCACCAGTTCCACAATCACTACAACCAGTGACATCACCACCAACACTATTTCCTCCATCATTACCACCCCTTCCACCATTAACACCACCAACCCCCCTCAACTGCCCCCATCGTTGCAACCACCGCTACATCATCCCAACAACACGAGCTCTCAGAGCCAACATGAGATTCTGGTTAAGAGTTTCAGCTCTGGAGACCCATTGTCTGGGCTTAGATCTCAGCTCTGAGTTTAAATCGCTCAGCTTCTGTGAGACTCAGTTTCTTCATCTGTAAAATGGGACAGCTACTACTACCAGGACTACCATGAACATGGTAAGACTGACCGTAGTGGTTGAAAAACTATCAGTTGAGGAAGTGCACGAAAAGCCGTTTCACTCTGCTGATTGAACGCTAATGATCTTCTAGGCTCTGTGCTCAGTGAGCACAGTTTTATTTAACCCTCACACAGCTGTGAGAGACACTGGCCCATCCATTTTGCAGAGGGGGAACCTGAGGCTCACAGAAGCTATATAACTCATCCGCAGCCCTACATAAGAGGCTGGATTGGAAGCCAGGTCTTCATCTGGACTAGGCTAGACTGACCCGTTTAGAGGGAGGGGGTTGGAGCAGCAGGTGGGCCTTCTGCAGTTCTGGGTTCCCTCCTCAGGTAGGCTGGGGGCATTTCAGCATCCTGCCACGATGGTGATGGTGGTGGTGGTGGGGAGGGGAGGGCCGCGAGTCCACTCACCTGTGTCCTGGCGAAACTGGTGCATGGACTGAAGGTCAATGATGTAGGGCACCAGCTGGGCATCCACTTGTCCCAGGACCACGGAGCCCCGGGCATCCTCCTTGAGCACGTTCTCAATGTGGTGGCACACGGTGGCCGTGTAGGGCCGCCAGCGGCTGTGCTCATTCAGCCACTCCCACACCACCACCCGGGCCACGTTCTGCGGTGGGAAGCCCAGCCCGCTCACCGGCAACATCACTCCCTGGCCTGGCCGTGACATGGCCGCTGCCGCCGGAGGGGCCAGGACCCCCTTCTTCCCTACCCAGCTCCTCCTGGGCCTGGGAGCTGGCGGCAGGGGTGGAGGGGAGCTTCCTCTCACCCCAGGGAGGGCAGCAAGGACTGTCCGGCCTCCTTTATGTCCTCCCGGCCCCTCTCAGGCCCGCAGGCCTCAGTTAGAGGAGTGTTGGAGGCTGGGGGTGGGGGGGATGTTCCAGGCTCCAAGATCCCTTCCCCTCAGAGCTGTCTCCGGTTAGGTGTGTTCTGGCAAGTGTCTTTCTTAGGAAGGGGAAAACGGTGCTCTCAATCCCTGGGCTCCCTCCAGGCTCAGACGAGGGGGTGAGGCAGCCGCCTCTACTCTAGGTCCGGGCTCTTTCCTGCTGGTCCCCCCGTTCCTACTGGCCGCGGCAGGGCCTGTCACCCCCGGAGGAGGCCGGGCCCCAGCCTGCCTTCTCTGCAGCGCCCTGCCGGCCCTCTGCGCTAGCAGACCCTGCGCCTAGCTCCAGGGGCCTGCTGGCCTTGTCTCAGGTCCGTCCCCCCTACCCCGTCCCCCGACGGCTCCCGCTGAAGGGGGCGTCCCTGTCCCCGTTGTCCACCCCCCACCCAGTTCCACGGCGTCCTGGAAGGCCCGGGTGGCTCGAAGAACGCACGGGGGAGGGGTGCGGCGGCTACTCCCGGCCCCCTGATCCGGGCTGCGGCTCCCGAGCTGGGCTGGGGGACGAGGGGGGCGGGGGCCCGTGGGCACGCCCCACCCCACTCGCGCTCGCCACCTGCCAGGAGATAAGAAGGGGAGGGAGAGGGCCCTTTAAGACCAGAGCGCGGCACCCCCTCCCCCCTTCCCCGGGAGAGCGAAGGGCTGAGAACAATGGGGAACCGATGGGGGGGGGGCAGCGAGGGGGGCTAAAGGGGGTCGCCCGGTCGCGCTCCCTTGGGGCAGGCCTCAAGGGAGGGCTGGGGCTGGCGGCGCGATTTTCCAAGACCCCTCGCCTGCGGCGCCCCCTCCTCAGCGACCTGAGCGCTCCCACTCCCCGCTCCCGGCCGAGGGATGCGGGATGCGCCGGGAGGTGCCAGGATGCGCGGCGCTGCAGGCGCGGCAGGCGCGGCCCAGGGCCCCTCAGGGGTCGCGTCACCGAGCAGGCGAAGCCGGGAGCTGGATCGCCTATGCCTCCCGCCCTGCGGGGAACAACCCTCCGCCCCCAGGCCAGACCTCCCCAAAGCGCGCGCGGGCCTCCCGAAGGAGCCGGGGGTGGGGTCCCTGGGCACCCCGCGCTCTCACCGCCTCTCCCCGGTTCTGCCTCCTTCTCCGGCTCACGCTTCAGCACCGCCGCCTCCTGGGCTCCCCCCGGAGTGGGAGGGAGCCGCGGTCCCGCCTCCGCGCCCTTTCCCTCCCAGGCCGCGCGGCGAGGCGCTGGGCTCTCCGCGAGCGGACAGACTACCCAGCCGACCGACGGACGCGTGAGCCGGCGGCCGGACGCCGGGATCCCGCGGGTGGGAGGCGGCCGTCGCTGCGCTCAGGGGAGGGAAGGGGGAGGGGGCGGAGAAGGAGGAAGGGGAGGAGACAGATCGCGGCCCTAAGCACCGCCGGCGCTGACACGCGAGTCCTCGGGCGCCCCGTATCCTGGGCTAGGCCCACCTGGGACCCCCGGAGGCTCCCTGGCCCCAGCAGGATTCAGGCCATGGGGTGGGGTGTCCATTTGGTCACCTGCTTGAATCTGAATCATTTTTACGTTCCAGTTGCCCAGTCCAGGGCCAGGTACACAATAGATGCTCAATAAATGCTCTAACGGATGTATTAGGATCCAGAGGTTGTTTAAAGAAAGATCTTAAAGCGTTCTAGGGTAGGCTTCTTTCCTCCTTCCACTCTTCTGGGGGAGGGGAGGGAGGAGGGTCTGGCAGAGGGAATCATGAAATCTGAAGTGTACATATGGGCCCACTGAGGCACAGAGAGGGTAAGAAATAAGCCCAGGATCACACAGCCGGTTAGAGCAATGCTCAGACACCACTCAGAGCTGATTCTCCTCCCAGTACCCAATTAGCCAGCCCAGAGCCAGCTTCCCCCAAGACAACTAACTCGCTCCAGGTAAGTGGGGGTAGCAAGAACATCTTGCCTTCAGGAGAGTGGGGGGACCTAGGCCAGGAGGCAGAGATCTTGAAGGAAGGTAAGGGTAGGTCCTCTGTCGTCTCATTCAGGGATGCCTGCCAACAACAGGTGCTCAATAAACGCTAGGCAAGGGCAGGCTGGATGGACAGGGAGGCAGGTGGCCACAGCAGCTCAAGTGTTAATGGGAGGGCCAGCTCTCCCTTGTCCAGCAAGCTGGATGCAACTGAGAACACATCATCTGGGCGGGGGGGGTGGGGGGGGGCGGGGATGGACCACGCGGGGCCTGCGGGTGTTTAGATTAGGGAAGATGAAGGATGCGTCCGGGAACTCCAGCCTGGGTGGCAGACGGGGGTCAGCGGCCTGCTTGGGAGCCTGCCCAGAGCAGCCCACGCTCCTCTTCCTCTCCAGGGCAGATGGTGATAAACTAGGCAAGGTCAAGGGCAGACGGCTCAGGGGAGCTTTCCCAGAACGGAACTCTGGTTCCCCAGCTAGCCGGAGTGACCTACCCACCCTCCACCCCCGCCAGCTCCCCAGGGCCCTGCTGTCTCCTGCTGTCCAGTGCTTGGGGGGCTTTTCCAGATCGGATCATGATTCTGTTTGCTTGTGCCTCCACAGACTAAAGACAGAGGCTGTGTTTGAGGGCAGGGCCAGCTCTGAGGTGCTACTGTGCCAACGGGATGGCTGAGCTCTGGAGTTGTAGCCTAGGGTCCACTGATGGCTCTCCTGTCCTCCCATTACAGACTTACATGTCTGTGCTTTCTTTCTTTTTTTTTTTCTAGAAGGGCTCTGGCTTTCTGCAGATTCTTCTCAAGGGAGGCTGTGACCCATAAGATTTGCAGCTGATGCTGAACAACCTTATATTACAGAAGGGGGTCTGGGGACCTCAGAGTGGAGAAGCTGGCTCAAGGTCACCTGGAAATTTAGCAGCAAGTTGGAAAGAAGAACTCAAGACTCCAGACTGTACGATGCTATTTAATGTCTGATTGAAGGTCATCTCCTCTGAGAAGACTTCCCTGAACTCATCCCATCTTCTGCATTACATCGCATATACCTTGAAAGGACACCCTTTATTGCAACAAGCCACTTCAGTGGAATCTGTCCCTGCTAGAGTGAGACATCCTTGAGATAAGGGACTGAGTCTTATTCACCCTCGTGTGGTATGGCTGGTGTTTATTACATAAGCATTGTCACTTATTGAGTGTCTATTATGTGCCAAGGTGCTTATGTAATGCCCACTCCCCTTCATAATTGTCCTACAAGGTAGGTAATATTGTCTTCATTTTACAGATGGAAAAAAAAAATCTCCTGGAGCTCAAAGCGGCTTGTCCAAGTTCCCCCAGGGAGTGAGTGGCAGAGCTGGGATTTGAATCCAAAATGCTTTTGCACCTCCTACACCACCAGTGCTGCAGTGGTGTTTGTTCAGCATCCAGCTGAAGGCAGCATGGCCCTCACGGCGGGCCCTCTCAACTGGGCTGTGGAGCAGCCGAAGTACAGAGCCTGGCTCCCCCTCCATCCTGGGAGAAAGAAACTACAAAGAGAGGAAAAGAATTTGACCTTTATGGAGCTCACAATCCACTGGAGAGATGGCTCAGACACCAGTGGAGGAGCCAATAGAACAAACTCAGTCCACCACGAACTCTTTTTAAAATGTATTGTGTATAGGAATGACACCCCTCATAGAAGAATCCCAGGATTTTCTCTTCTGTGTGTTTCTGTTTCACTTCCTTGCAGCCATGATACTAGCTGAGGTCATCGGTGCAATGAGATGAAAGAAGATGCTTCTGTCACTTCTCTAGATCTTTGAGTGATACGTCAAATTCAAGGCTAATCACACTTATTTAACCTGTGTGTGAGTTTCGCAATGATGTTCTTGCTCCATGATCATCAGTGATTTCCAATTCACCCGTGTAGCCATGCTTCATCATCACAATAGAAATCATGTAAACCTTTCAAGGAAAGTCTTCCACTACAAACAAACAACAATTAAAAGCCAGATGATGACTTTGGAGCATGGCCTAAATGAACTTGGAGTTTGTCTTTCTTCTCAGCATTATCAATGTTCTTAAGGACATTCATGTGAGCAGCATGGAAAGATGGCCGAAAGAAATGACTTATTTTTTGTTCTCATATCCATCCATCCATCTATCCATCCATTCATTCATCTACTCATTTATGTGTTCAGCTGGATAAGTACCCTCCCTTTCTCTACCTACCATCCCTCCATCCATCTATCCACTCATTTATGTGTCCAAAATATACTGAGCCCAGCCCTTAAGCCAGGCACTAGGCCATGCAGGGAGATCTAGGAGGTAATCCAAACAGCATGGTTCTGGCTCTTCTATTTCTCAGAGTCTAGTGGCGGTGTGAGCCATGAATCAAAGAATCATTTTAAGTATGATTGCAAAACTTTGCAAGAGCTATGAAGAAGTTCAGGATATTATGAGGGCCTCTAACAGCGGTCCAACGAGGTCTAGGGAATCAGGGAGGGCTTCTCAGGAGGTGACATTTCAGCTACTCACCAAAGGATCCACAGTGGTAGTGTGGATAAGCCAGTGGGTGGAGGAGCGGAGATGTGCAAAGGCCCAGAGGTGGGAAAGAGTTTGGTGTATTAAAGCAGCAGAGAGAGGAAGCTGGAGTGACCACTGAGAATGGATCAGGGGTGAGCCTGGGGCAAGTCGAGGTGGGCAAGGTCCCTACGCAGGGCCTAGCATGGGTTTGAGGTTTTATCCTGAGAGCCATGGAAGTTACTGAAGGGAAATTTTTTTAAAACAAACTTTTAAAAAATTTATTTACTTCTTTTCGGGTCTTCTTTGCTGTGCTGGGTCTTCACTGCTGCGCGCGGGCTTTCTCTAGTTGTGGCGAGTGGGGGCTACTGTTCATTGTGCTGTTCAGGCTTCTCGTGGCCGTGGCTTCTCTCATGGGAGCTCTAGGGTGCTTGGGCTTCAGTAGTTGCCGGCTCCAGAGTGCAGGCTCAGTAGTTGTGGCACACAAGCTTAGTTGCCCGGGGGCATATGGGATATTCCCGGATCAGGGATTGAACCCATTGCTCTAGTGGTGAAGAACCCGCCTGCCGATGCAGGAGACGTAAGAGACACGGGTACAATCCCTGGGTTGGGAAGACCCCATGAAGGAGGGCATGGTAACCCATTCCAGTATTCTTGCCTGGAGAATCTCATGGACAGATGAGCCTGGCAGACTACAGTCCATAGGGTCACAAAGAGTTGGACACAACTGAAGAGACTTAGCACCCCTATATTGATTGACAAGTGGATTCTTAACCACAGGAGCACCAGGGAAGTCCCTGAAGGGAATTTAATGCAATTCAAATTGTGTATGAAAGAGTCTGAAAGTAACCAGAGTTTATTGAGCAACTACTGGGTGCCCAGTGCTGGGCTAAATCCCCTGGAGTGGGAAGTGAAGGTGTAGGAATTGTTCTGTGGGACATAGAACAAGCTGGGTGACCCTGAAGACCACACCAACGTCATGTACAATTGGGGCACGAGCCCTGGGAGGCAGATGTCAGCCCTGCCCTCCATCCCGAGGAGCCGAGTGAGTTAAGGCCCTTCTGAATTCTTCTGTCCGGCTCCCTACATCCTGGCCCGTGGACCAGCTGTGACCTTTCCCTCAGCAGTAAGGGGAAAAGTTTAAGTGGGAAACAAGAAACAGAGCAAGAAAGACTCTTTAGATGTCTTGGGGACTGAAACAGGGCCCCTGGAACTCAGAGCATTCTACTGAAAACAGGAGACTACCTCAGGGCTGCAGGACGTGAGTAGGGTGGCAAGTGATAAAAGGCCATTCACTACCTGCTGAGAATTGGAGGTAGAATTAGAAAAATGCCGGAACCGTAACATCACAGCTGGCCCTGGTGGGTGAGGAGCATCCACAGGCACCGAGGCCTGGGTGGGACCTGCTGTGATGGCTACTTGTCCAGATCATGAGGTTGCAGATTCCCTGAGTCTCACCCTGAAATTTGGGTCCAGTGGGACTTGCACTGGGCCTGAGCATCTCTGTTTGAGATGAACGGCTTCTCTTTGAGCTCTGGGTCTCACTCTGTTTGCAAGGGAGAATCTCCAGGGGTGGGCGTGGAGTGCTTAAAAATTATCTATGTCCCAAGCCTCACCCTCAGGAACTCTGACTTAATTGGTCTGGGGGTCCCGGCATCAGTAGTTCTTGGCCAGTGGTCCTTTCCTGGATTGGAGTGAGAGAGAGAGGGTGAAATCAGCCCATCCCCACGTAATTGGGCTGATAATACAGGAGCTCTCAGCTCTTGTTTGGGGCCATCGACTTGTTCGTCCAACCAGAAGATGTTTATTGAGCATCTACTATGTGCTACACACTGATCCAGGCACTGGGAATGTAATAGTGAACCAAAGAGTTAAAAAATCTCTGCCCTCCTGGTGCTGACCTTCTAGTGGGGTAGAGGGCAGAGATAGGTGGTAAACAAAGACATAAGTAAAATACATGGTATATCAGAAAGTGTAAGCACTGTAGAGAAAAAGAAAGCCTTCTTAACACGTCTGGTGGGGATGTGAATCGGTGCAACCAATTCACAATGTGGAATTTACTCTGGCTTTCTCTCCCAAAGCCGAGCATGTCCATATCCTATGACCCAGCAATTCTACACCAAAGTATAAACCATGCAGAAATGCTTGCCTATCTACACCAGGAATTACATGGAAGGATATTCACAGGGGTGCTGTCCACAGTGGCCAAAACTGGGACACACCCACGTGCCCATCTATGGGAGAGCAGATGAATAAATTCCCACTGCGAAGTACTACTTGGCAGTCAAAACATAGGAACTGCAGCCATAATACATCACAATGTGGATGAATATCTGAGATCGAATATCCCACGAAAAACACCCTGTTACATAAACACGAAATCCTTTCTATCGAGTTGAAAGCAACTAAAAATATATACACACATATGCAATAATAAACTATAAGAAGGAAACAAGGGAAGAATAACTAAAGGATTCATGATGAAGACTATAGTGAGGGGATTATGGAGGGAGGGAGAACCATCTGGTTAGATGTAGGTTATTGTCAAGACTGTAGGTTTTGTTTGGATTCGGGGTTTTACATCATTAAATTTAGTAATTAAACACTGGGACTTCTCTGGTGGCCCAGCAGTTAAAAGACTCTGTGCTCCCAATTTGGGGGACCTGGGGTTCAATCCATGGTCAGGGAACTAGATCCCACATGCTAAGTAAGACCTGGTGCAGCCAAATAAATAATTAAAATTAAAAATAATTAAATGCTGATGAGAGTGGGCTATAAATGAAGGATTATAATTACCTCTCTCTTTATTTTTTGTGAACTTAGGTTAAAGAAAAAAAGCAAGAAAGCAGGAGAGCGGCTGAAGCATGCTGGTGGTGGAAGATGGGCAGCAATTTTCAAACAGCTGGACAAGGGAGGTGCCGTTGGAGTGACACCTGAGCCAAGACTAGAAGCAGGGAGGTAGCGACCCATAGGAGAGAGCTAGGATGTCCTAGGCAGAGGGCAACGAGGGTGCAAAGGCCCTGAGGTGGGAGTGTGCCTGGCATGCTCTAAGAATAGCAGCAGGGCCTGTGGGCTGGTGGCAGGGCGTGGGGGCATATGTCCTGTGTGGAGGAGATGAATAAAGCAGGCTTTGGGGAGAGGATGGTCCAGGGTCCCCAAAGAGCCCAGATCCTGGGTCTGCTCTTCTCAGCACTTTGCTGTTTGATTTTTTTTTTTTTCTTGGATTCCATGAGACACTTTCATTTCCTTGAGGTAGTCTCAATGGGTTTCTATTCATTGCAACCCAGTGAGTCCTGCCTGGTTAAATCACTGACCCTGTCTGGTCCAGAGGATCATGATGCGAGTTTCTACAGGAAAGGATCCTTAGGTAATAAGTGCAAAGTCGAGAGGGAGGCGATGGGCGATCAGGCCAACATCAGATACAGGACAAGGGATGGCAATTAGCCCATCGGTTGAGCGCTTTCCTAAGCCTCAGGGATTTTTATTAACTTCTTCCCAGCCTCCTGGGTATTAACATAGATTTTACAGATAAGGAGACTCAGACCCCCAGGAGGTTCTGACATACACAGTGAGCAGGTGAGTGGGCAAACCCCAGGGCTGGTTGACTGCGAAATCTCTGCACCTGGAATAGGAGGTCTCTGACCCATGTCAATTTCCGTGTTCCCTTATCTTTGGGTAACCTGGGGGCATGTGAGTTCTTACACCTCTCGGTCTTCTCCAGCCCCTGGGCAATCTGAAGACTGGCGGGCAGCTAGGCAAGGTGGACGCACTCTATTCAAGACCGGCGGTATCTCCAGTAAAGAGGGAAGAGACCCAGAGAAACCGCGGGGTTGAGTCGGCTGTGGGACGGCATGTGATGGGGGTGCCATGCAGCCCTGGGGCTTCTGCCGGGCTGGTGCATCTGGCAAAGGCGGGGAGGAGAGAGATGCTCTTAACTTTCTCCAGGATCCTAGGGCATTCCCCCAGCCCCTCCCCCTTCCGCTAGAAACCGTCCGCTGGCTCCACTGAGTGGAAAGGGCCGAGAGGGCCGTGAAATGAAACGGGAGCATAGCGCCTCCTGGTGGCCATTGTCCAGCTATTACTCTAATGCCGGAAGGATTTCCAGGTAATTCATTTTAATTTACTTTTATTGTGGTAAAAAAGCATAACAGAACATTTATCATCTTACCCATTTGTAAGCGTACAGTTTGGTCGTGTTAAGCATATCCAAATGGTGTTCAACAGATCCCCAGAATGTTTTTATCTTGCCAAACTGAAATTTTATACCCATTAAACAATTCCCTACCCCTCCCTACTCCCAGCCCCCAGCTATCACCATTTTACTTTCTGTCTCTATGAATCAGACTACTTTAGATACGTCATATAGATGATATTATATAGTATGTCTTTCTGTGACTGGCTTATTTCACTTAGCATGATTTCCTCAGGATTCTTGCTCCTTGTAGCATGCGTCAGAATCTCCTTCCTTTCTAAGGCTGAGCAATATTCCATTTTTTGCCTTTTCATACTGTTCATGGGGTTCTTGAGGCAAGAATACTCAAGTGATTTGTCATTCCCTTCTCCAGTGGGCCACACTTTGTCAGAAGCAAGGAGATCAAACCAGTCAATCCTAAAGAAAATCAACCTGAATATTCAATGGAAGGATTGATGCTGAAGCTGAGGCTCCAATACTTTGGCCACCTGATGAGAAGAACTGACTCATTGAAAAAGACCCTGATGCTGGGCAAGATTGAGAGCAGGAGGAGAAGGGGGCGACAGAGGATGAGATGGTTAGATAGCATCGCTGACTGAATGGACATGAGTTTGAGCAAACTCTGGGAGATAGTGAAGGACAGGGAAGCGTGGAGTGCTGCGGTCCATGGGGTCACAAAGAATCGCACACGACTGAGTTTGGTCTTCCCAGGTGGGTCAGTGGGTAACGAATCTGCCTGCAATGCAGGAGGCCAGATTCAATCCCTGAGTCAGGAAGAGCCCCTGGAGAAGGAGATGGCAGCCACTCCAGTATTCTTCCCTGGAAAGTCCCATGGACAGAGGAGCCTGGCGGGCTACCTTACGTAGGATCACAAAGAGTTGGATACGACGAGGCAACTGAGCATGCGCGCACTCAAGCTTTATACTCATGCTTGAATGTGTAGGAAGAAGTACGCCTGGGTCTCCTTTGCAGGCTTAGTGTTCTTGGCTTGCCCAGTGCCCTTAACACTTAACAGGCTTCCTGGGAGACCCTACTTAGTCAGGTAGAGCAGCCTAGTTGCAGAGGAGGAGGTAGCCACTACCAGCCATTGTCCTCTCTGATGAGACAATCTGGTTTTGTCCCATGGCCTCCCAGCCTGGGCTCTGGCCAGCCCTCTGATACTGGGACTGTCACCTGCTGTTCTCAAAGCTGAGTCTGCAGGGGAAGACCGTGGCGATCTCCCCAGCAAGGGGGGGGGGGGTGGAAGGAAGAAGGAGGAAGAGGGGCTCTCAAGAAAGCTAAAAGTCAGAAAGAGAGGTCAAGGGTATGCTGAAATGGGTTGGAGAATTCAGTCCTCATTTATAGGACACTTGCCAAGCCTTTTCACGTTTATTGTCTTATTTAAGTACCCCACAGGCAAGGGAGACAGATTTCATTCTTCTCATTATGAGGATGAGGCTCTGGACACCCAGAAACTCAAAAGGCTTTGCCCAAGTCCACTTCTGTGCACTCGCCATTGCTGCCGTAACGAACTTAATGGCATTAAACAACACACATTTTTACAGTGCTGGAGGTCAGAAATCTAAAAGTCAAGGTGTCCGCAGGTCCACATTCTTTCTGGAGGCTTCAAGAGAGAGTCTGTTTCTTTGCCTTTTCCAGCTTCTAAAGGCCAGCTGCACTCCTTGGCTTGTGGCCCCCTCCTCCATCCTCAATGCCTGCAGAGTAGCATCTTCCAATCACACATCTTTCCTCACTCTAACTCCTGCCTCCCTCTTCTAAAAATGCTTGCGATTATGTTGGTCCCACCATCTGTGTAATCCAGGACAATCTCCTCATGTCAAGATCCTGAATCACATCTGTAGTGAATCCCCTGGTGGTCCAGTGGCTATGACTCTGAGCTCCCAGTGCAGGGGGCTCGGGTTCAATCTCTGGTCAGGGAACTAGATCCCACCATGCTGCAACTAAAAGAAAAAAATAAAAAGATCCTGCATGCCGTGATGAAGTTCGAACATCCTGAGTGCTGCAACTAAGAAGTGGAGAAACCACAAACATATATACATAAAAATCACATCTGCAGGGTTTTCCTGGTGGCTCAGTGGTAAAGAATCTGCCTGCCAGTACAGGAGACAGGGATTTGAGCCCTGATCCAGGAAGATCCCACCTGCCTTGGAGCAACGAGGCCCATGAGCCACAACTATTGAGACCACATGCTGCAGCTACTGAAGCCCACCCACCCTAGAACTTGTGCTCAGCAACAAGAGAAGCCATTGCAATGAGAAGCCCTCAAACTGCAGCTGGAGAGTAGCTCCCACTCGCTGAAACTAAGAAAAGCCCGCAAAGCAACGGAGACCCAGCACAGCCGAAAATAAAGGAAGTTAATAAGTAATATTATATTTTTCAAAATCACACATGCAAAGCTCTTTTTGCCATGTGTTGTAACGTATTTGTCAGTCATGGGGGTCAGGACGCGGACATCTTTGGGAGGATGTTATTCAGCCTGTTGTAGTTACCAGCTGAGGAGTGACAGACCTTCTGAGTCCCGGTGTTGCTTCTCCATCCTTCTCCTCAGCAGTCCACTGTGGCTGTAGTCACTGATAGATCCTGTTTGTGCCTTGCACACACCAATGGCAGCATTTCAGTGGATCCTGCATTTGCCATTTTTTAGATAAGGAATGAACACGTGGGACCCAGAGTCTGGCTGTCTGAGTTTAAATCCTAGCTTCAGCTTTTCTGTGGTGCAATTTTCTGGCAAGTTACTTTTCTTTTCTGTGGCTCTGTTTTCTCATCTGTAAAATGGGAGTGATGATATAGATATCTGTCCCCTGGGTACACAGTATGAGGATTAAATGATCTAATGAATCTTGAGTTCTTAGGACAATGTCTGGTTTATAATAACTTTAGTACATATTAACTTGCTTTTTTGTCTTTAAAAATTTTTTTTAATTTATTTTATTTGACTGTGCTCGGTCTTTTCTTGCATCACACAGGATCTTTAATTGTGGCATGTGGGATATATATTCTTATCACTCAAGGAGAATCTTTTTGTTTTTGATGACCTGTGGCCATTTGAACCTTTTCTCCATACAAGCTGAGATCCACAGTGGTTCACTAGCTCCCAAAGCTGGGTTTACAGGAATCCACATAGTTAAGGAGTTAAATGCTTAGAATTTGGAGGCAGAGAGGCCCAGGGTAGAATCCAACTAGCCCACTTACTTGCTGCAGGCCCTTGGGATATGACTTCACTGGGTCTCAATTCCCTTATTTGTAAAGTGGGGATTGTTGTTGTTGAGTCGCTCAGTCCTGTCCGACTCTTTGCGACCCCATGGACTGTAGCACACCTTCCCTGTCCTTCACCATCTCCCAGTTCTTACTCAAACTCATGTCCATTGAGTCAGTGATGCCATCCAACCATCTTAATCTCTGTCATCCCTTTCTCCTCCTGACTTCAATCTTTCTCAGCATCAGGGTCTTTTCCGACGAGTCAGCTCTTTGCATCAGGTGGCCAAAGTATTGGAGCTTCAGCTTCAGCATCAGTCCTTTCAATGAATATTCAGGACTTATTTCCTTTAGGATTGACTGGTTGGATCTCCTTGCAGTCCAAGGGACTGTCAAGAGTCTTCTCCAACACCACTCTTCAAGAGCATCAATTCTTCAGCTCTCAGCCTTCTTTATAATGCAACTCTCACATCCATACGTGACTACTGGAAAAACCATAGCTTTGACTAAATGGACCTTTGTTGGCAAAGTAATGTCTCTGATTTTTAATATGCTGTATAGGTTTGACATAGCTTTTTTTTCCAAGAAGCAAGTGTCTTTTAATTTCATGGTTGCAGTCACCATCTGCAGTGATTTTGGAGCCCAAGAAAATAAAGTCTGTCACTGTTTCCATTTTTTCCTCATCTATTTGCCATGAAGTGCTGGGACTGGGTGCCATGATCTTAGTTTTCTGAATGTTGAGTTTTAAGTCAGCTTTTCCACTCTCATTTTTCACTTTCATCAAGAGGCTCTTTAGTTCCTCTTAGCTTTCTGCCATACAGGTGGTGTCATCTGCATATCTGAGGTTGCTGATATTTCTCCTGGAAATCTTGACTCCAGCTTATGCTTCATACAGCCCAGCATTTTGCACGATGTACTCTGCATATAAGTTAAATAAGCAGGGTGACAATATACAGCCTTGACATACTCCTTTCCCTATTTGGAACCAGTCTGTTGTTCCATGTCCGGTTCTAACTGTTACTTTTTGACCTGCATACAGGTTTCTCAGGAGGCAGGTAAGGTGGTCTGGTATTCCCATCTCTTGAAGAATTTTCTACAGTTGGTGGTGATCCACACAGTCAAAGGCTTTGGAATAGTCAATAAAGCAAAAGTTTTTCTGTAATTCTCTTGCTTTTTCTATGATCCAGTAGATGTTGGCAATTTGATCTCTGGTTCCTCTGCCTTTTCTAAATCCAGCTTGACCATCTGGAAGTTCTCTGTTCATGTACTGTTGAAGCCTAGCTTGGAGAATTTTGAGCATTACTTTGCTAACGTGTGAGATGAGTGCAATTGTGCAGTAGTTTGAACATTCTTTGGCATTGCCTTTTTTTTTGGATTGGAATGAAAACTGACCTTTTCCAGTCCCGTGCCCACTGCTGAGTTTCCCAGATTTGCTGGCATATTGAGTGTAGCAATTTCACAGCATCATCTTTTAGGATTTGAAATAGCTCAACTGGAATTCCATCACCTCCACTAGCTTTATTCGTAGTGATGTTGCCTATGGCCCACTTGACTTCGAATTCCAGGATGTCTGGCTCTACTTGAGTAAACACACCAGCGAGGTTATCTTGGTCATTAAGATCTTTTTTGTGTAGTTCTTTGTGTATTCTTGACACCTCTTCTCAATATCTTCTGCTAGTACCCAAACCAGAGGGCAATTTTAAAAAATTATTTTATCTCTATTTTTGGCTGTGTTGGGTCTTCGTTGGTGCACACAGGTTTTCTCTAGTTGTGGCAAGCCAGGCTCCCTAGTTGCAGTGTGCAGGCTTCTCATTGCAGTGGTTTCTCTTATTGTGAAACACAGGCTCCAGGGAACAGGCTCAGTAGTTGCAGAACGAAGGCTTGGTTGCCCCATTGCATGTGGGATCGTAGTTCCCAGACCAGGGATCAAACCTGTGTCCCTTGCATTGACAGTGGGATTCTTAATCACTGGACGACAAGGGAAGTCTCCAGAGGGCAGTGTTGAGGATTGAAAGAGATAAGGCACTTCATCTCTCTCAACATCCTTCCCAACCCTCACAAACTACATCCCCCACAAATCAAGGCCTGTCTCCTGCAGGTGCCCAGCTACCAATCTAGTTCCCTTTTGCCATCACTGTCTTTCTCTCTTATGGTAAATGAAGTAGGGATTTTCCATGTTTAAAGATTACTTTAACATCTCTTTTCATGAATAGTCTGTTCATACTTTTTTGTCCATTTTTCTATCTGGTTTCCACATTTCCCCGTCAAATTTAGAGAGTTACTCATTTATTACTGAGAATGCTCCTTTATCCATTATGTGTGTTGTAAATATTTTCTCCTGGTTTGTCAGTTGTCTTTTGATTTCACTTATGGTATTTTTCACGTGTAAAAGCTAATGAAAATTTTATGCAGTCAAATTTACTAATCTTTTTTTTTTAATTAAAAAATTAAAACTTTTTGGCAGCACTGTGGCCTGTGGGATCCTAGTTTTTGGCATGTGGAATCCTATTTACCCAACCAGGGATGGAACCTGTGTCCCCCGTATTGGAAGCATGGAGCCTTAACCACTGGACCGCCAGAGAAGACTCTGTACTAATCTCTTATTGCATCTGGATTTTGAATCATAGTTAGAGATCTTTTTTCCACACGCAAGTTATGGAGGAATTCACCCATATACTTGTATACTTCCCTGGCAGCTCAGCGGTAAAGAATCCACCTGTAATGCAGGAGATGCAGGAGATGCGGGGTGGATCTCTGGATCAGGAAGATCCCCTGGATGAGGGCATGGCAACCCTCTCCAGTGTTCTTGCCTGGAGAATCCCATGGACAGAGGAGCTTTGGGGGCTACAGTCCATAGGGTCTCAAAGAGTCTGACATGACTGAAGCAACTGAGGATGCACTCACCTACTGGTAATTACAGTTTTCATTTTTTACATTTCGATAGTCATCATTTAGGACTTTATTCTTGTGTACTGTGTGAGGAGTGGACACTGGGTCAAAAGTAAAAAAAAAGACAAAGGAAGTATTTTGGGGACAACTGGTAAAATTTGAATAAAGACCCTGCTTTAGACCATCATTCAGTTCAGTTCAGTCGCTCAGTCGTGTCCGACTCTTTGTGACCCCATGAATTGCAGCACGCCAGGCCTCCCTGTCCATCACCAACTTCCGGAGTTGACTCAAACTCATGCCCATCGAGTCAGTGATGCCATCCAGCCATCTCATCCTCTGTCGTCCCCTCTTCCTCCTGCCCCCAATCCCTCCCAGCATCAGGGCCTTTTCCAATGAGTCAGCTCTTCGCATGAGGTGGCCAAAGTACTGGAGTTTCAGCTTCAGCATCAGTCCTTCCAATGAACACCCAGGACTGATCTCCTTTAGGATGGACTGGTTGGATCTCCTTGCAGTCCAAGGGACTCTCAAGAGTCTTCTCCAACACCACACAGTTCACCATGAAGAGATACCCCATGTCCAAGGTAAGAGAAACCCAAGTAAGACGGTAGGTGTTGCCAGAGGGCATCAGAGGGCAGACATACTAAAACCATAATCACAGAAAACTAGCCAATCTGATCACAGGACCACAGTCCTGTCTAACTCGATGAAACTAAGCCATGCCGTGTGGGGCCACCCAAGACGGTCAGGTCATGGTGGAGAGGTCTGACAGAATGTGGTCCACTGGAGAAGGCAATGGCAAACCACTTCAGTATTCTTGCCTTGAGAACCCCATGAACAGTGTAAGAAGGCAAAATGATAGACCATCATTAGTAAATGGTAAATTTCCTGAATGTTATAACGGTATTGTGTTTATGAAGGAAAATATCTTTTCTCTTATATGATCATCTGTAGTTTTTAGGATGGCTCGGTCACGATGTCTTCAGTTAACTTGCAAATGGTTGAGCAAATATATGTATATATTTATAATACTAATAATATATTATATTTTAATAAATATTAGACAAATTTAATAAAATGTGACAAAATGTTAGCAATTGATGGCAGGCATATGAGTATTTACTTCACTATTCTTGCAACTTTTCTTGAGGTTCAAAATTTTGAAAAATAAAAAGTTGGCAGAATTCCCTGGTAGTCCAGTAGTTAGGGCTCCGTGCTCTCACTGCCAAGGGCCTGGATTCTATCCCTTGTTGGGGAACTAAGATCCCTCAATCTCAGAAAAAAACTAAAAAATTAAAAAAAAAAAAGTTGGGAGGAAGAGTGCTACGGCAAGGTTTGAGTAGGCAAAGGAGGTACCTGGCCCCTTTAAGATGGCCCCGCCCTTCACGTCCCGCCCCCGCCCCCAGAGCACCGCCCACCCGGAAAGGCTTGGCCCAAGCCCCGCCCCTCTACCGGGCCCTCCCCAGCCTGCCCAGGCCCCGCCCTCCGCAGGGGAGTGCTGTCACGTGAACCGGGCTGCGGCGCCCCGCTCCGCGCCGTCATGGTGGCCCCGATGTGTGGCTCCCCCGGCGGCCGCCTGGCCCGGGCAGTGACGCGGGCGCTGGCGCTGGCCCTGGTGCTGGCCCTGCTGGTCGGGCTGTTCCTGAGCGGCCTGACCGGCGCGATCCCGACCCCGAGGGGCCAACGGGGACGGGGGATGCCGGTTCCGCCCGCCTCCCGCTGCCGCTCGCTGCTCCTGGACCCGGAGACGGGCCAGCTGCGCCTGGTGGATGGCCGCCACCCTGACGCCGTGGCCTGGGCCAACCTTACCAACGCCATCCGCGAGACCGGGTAAGGGTTGGCCGGATCTCGTGCGGGCCGGCCGGGGGAGGGAGTTGCGTGGGCGCCGGGCCTAGCCTGCCCCTAGGACGGGCCTCTTGCCGATGACAGGAGTCCCATCCTTGTCTCCCTGAGGGTCAGTTTCCCTCCTCTGCGGCTGCAGCGCCGTGGTTGGGTGGGGCCAGTGAGGCCTCCCTCAGCTCAGGGCCAGCCCCTTGCCTTCAGCCAGGGATGAGAGGACCTCTGTTTCCCTGGCGACACAGTAATCCCCACATAGGCCAGCACTTTCCTCCTCCACACCCGCCCCTCCCTACCCGCCCCCCCCACCGCCCGTCTCACTCCCAGGGACCAGAGGGATTTTACTACCTCTCCAGGAGAAATTCTCACTTCCTTGGTTGTAGCTTACCCTGGGGGTGCCAGCCCCACCTGTCTCCTTTCTGGAACCAGAGCAGCAGGACTGAGCTTGGATTCCAGGCCAGTCTGAAAACAGAGAGTCCCTAAATTCGCAAAGACCCAGATGGTGTCCTTGCTTGGCTTCTGCTCCCCACTTCCCTCCTCTCTCCTGGTCCGGGGAGAGTCGCTTGTCCAGACGCTTGGCATGGAGCCCAGGACCCCGCCTCCGGCAGTCGCTGTCACTGTCCTGGCCGCAGGGGTCTGGGCTGTCATCCTGATGTGCGGCTCTTACCTGACTCCTCTGCCTGTCTGGGCTCTCGTTTCCCCATCTTGGAATTTGAGGATGTGCTCTACCTGGGAAGTTGGGCGGTGCCTCTCTCAGGCCTTGTACCAAGGCTTGTGCCCATTCATTCATTCATTCACTCACCTGGTGTGCTTGGCCATGGAGAGACAGAGTTGAGGGGGTCCCCACTCAGCGGAAACCGTGTGAGGAGGGAAAATCCTGGAAGTGGGGAACATCTGCCTCAAAGGCTTGTCAGCATGGCCCAGGCCCAGGACCTAGGCTGTGTTGGGGGTCTTAGGAAACCCTGTGTGTCCCCTGGACCCTACCCACACTAGCCCATCCTGGACTCATCCAGTTTGCTGGAATGCATTCATTCCTGCAGGTGTTGGGGAGACACAGGACACCGAGGACACTCCAGTTCTGGGGCTTTGTGGCACCTAGGAGGGTGTTAGATAGATAGACCGGGGATCGTGGGAAGAGGATTTACCGCAGACACAGGAGCTGAGTGGGGCTAATCTGGGAAGGCTCCCAGGGAGAGGAAGCCACAGGGTAGGCTGGCATCTACAGAGGAAACCAGAACTCTGTGGGATATGACTCTAGAATCTGGTGACCCAGTCTCTGCTGACTCATATATTTTTGGCCCTGCTTAGCAGAGCTAAGAGAGCCTGACAGTCTCTGCCTGGATATCAGCTGGGAGGAGGCACAGAGATAAGGCTCAACATGGGAGAGGGGCTTTGGCCCCAGCAGCTCCCCACTGGGATGTGTTGCTGTCAATTATGGAAAACAGAAAAGTGGGGAGAGGATTCCCATGATTGTGCTGGATGGAAAGTTCTTCCAGGCTCAGCTCTGGTGCTCTGTGACTTGGGCGAATCACTTCGCCTCTCTGAGCCTGTTTCCTCCCTTGAAGGTGAGGCTCGAAGGAAAATTCAGGGGGATCACAGAAAGTACCTCTGTTTATTTACTAAAGGAAGGAGTGAATGAAAGAGAAGAAGAATGAGTGTCTTCTGCCCCCGTTTTACAGTTGGGGAAACTGAGAAATGAACCCTGTTCTCTTCTGCACTCCTTGCTCTCACTTCACTGTTCCAGCATCTTTTCTGTCCACTCTGCCCCTTTCCTTCTGGGTCTGACAGCACTTGGGACTATGATGGAAGGAAAATTGCATGGGAAGCCCCCGTTTTGTAAGCTGGGAAACTGCAGCCCTCAGACACCCTCTTTTTTTTTTTTTTTTTTGGCTATGCTCTGCAGTTGTAGGATCTCAATTCCTGGACCAAGGATTGAATCCGGGCTATGGAAGTGAAAGTACCGAATCCTAACCACTAGACCGCCAGGGAATTCCCCCAAAGACACTTTCGTGGGAACTCAGGAGTGAGATGTAAGAAAGACAGCTGGGGTAGCCTCTTTACTAAGCACCTGAACCTCTGATCTGGGGTCAACTGACTTGTCTCAATTTTTGGAGAGTGGAAATCATGATTTGGCTCTTCTGTTCGCCTCGAGTTGACATCTTTCCCTCCTTTCTGGCCCTGAGTTTTCACCAGATCCTGGAATTTTCAGGATAACTTGCATGGTCCTTTCACTCATAATCTCTCTTCTTTCAGTTGTGCTGTATCTGACTGGCTCCCTTGAAGCCTAAAACATTTAGGACTTGACACTTGGGGGATCAGAGATGCCCCCAGAGGCAGCGCCTGCCCCAGCCTGGCTCTGGCCTTGGTCCTGGGGAGGCTGACCCCTCCAACTTTACCTTTTCCTCCTTTTCTGACCTGATGCCCCCCAACCAGCTGTTTGATCTAAATTGCCTTCAAGTTGAGAGAGGAAGTAAATACCATTAAGAGGGAATTAACCTAATAGGAAGCTGGGAAACAACCCAAATCTATCACCCAACAAGCAGAAACACAGCCCAGTAAAATGGCTAATTATCACCCAACTCTTTTTTAAAAAATTTTTATTGAAGTATAGTTGATTTATGATGTTATGTTAGTTTCAGGTATATAGCAAATTGAATCCACTGTACATATTCATAAATCCATTTTTCTTTTTCTTAAGATTCTTTTCCCATATAGGCCTTTAGAGAGTATTGAATGAGTTCCTTGTGCTCTACGGCAGGTTCTTATTAGTTATCCAACTGTTTCTTTGAAAAGTCACAAAAGATCAACTTATACCATCATGAATGGAAAAGGAGTGATAGCCACAGATAAGGTAGTACATCCCACATAGTAGAGGATGTCCAGGGCACACTATATGCTGAAACGGCAGTGATGGGGAAGGGAGATTTGTAACCTGCTCATGTCACGGGCTTCCCTGGTAGTTCAGTGGTAAAGAATCCACCTGCCAATGCAGGAGACACGGGTTCGATCCCTGGGTTGGGAAGATCTCCTAGAGAAGGAAATGACAACCCACTCCAGTATTCTTGCCTGGGAAATCCCATGGACAGAAGAGCCTGGTGGGGTACAGTCCATGGGGTTGCAAAAGAGTTAGACACAACTGGGCAACTGAGCATGCACGCATGCTCATTTCACTAGAATGGTCCGACTTTTCCCAAACGTGGCCTCTTCATTAAACCTCGGCGTCATCTCGGAGGTATTAGTTGCCCCTGACATAAAATCACAGTGTGGGCCATAGACTTTCCAGAAAAAAAAAAAAAAGATTGAGGAAATAGATTCAGTGCAGCTGACTCTATTTTTGTCAAGCAAGTGCATTAGAAACAAACCAGAACAATATTTATCGATCTCTTCCCTTTTCATCTTCTAAAGCGGTCAGCTATTTTAGAACCAAACAAGCCAGAAGGCCATGATCTCTGAATCAAGAATAGTCTAATGGGAACATTTTTCTTTAGAAACACTCTTTTCTCAGTAGTTTGTTTTTTGTTGTTACTGTTGTTGTGTTTTTGTTTTTTTGTCCAGAGACTGGGATAGTGTCTCAAAGTTGTCAGCCAGCGTGGCAGTGAGGTATTCCAGAAGTCATTTGCTGATGTCCAAACCTTCCAGTTTTACAGATGGGAAAACTGAGGCTGAAAAAGTACAAAGGTTTGGTTTGCAGCAAGGTTTCAGGTTTAACATCAGAGAGATCTAGGTTCAGATCTTTGCCCAGACACTTACTACAGGTGATCATCAGCAGCTGCCTCACTTTCGTGGTGAGAATGGTGCCAGCCTTGCAAGGTTCTGCAAAAGAATCATTTGATAAGGGCTAGGGCCTGAAGCAACAGAGGGATCCTCAGAGATCAGCCTCAGGGGCTTCAGCACTGGAATCCCCTCTCTCTTTCTAAGGTGTTCTGGAAAGATAGGTCGAAACCCACCTGACCAGGGTTTTTGAGGACTCAGGTGAAGTACATAAACCCCATCCAGATGGAATCACCCCACTTGCCCTTTGGAATAAGGCAGCCCAGGGAGGAATGCAGGAGGCACTATCTTGAACAAGGGGAGTGACTCATTCCTTATTTACAGTACCATGGCCTGGCTGGGAGTGGATTATTACTATCCACTCATTCTTTTCCTTTTCATCCAGCTTGGAAGAGTCACGCTGCATTCTTTTATATTTTTGTACTTAATTATTAGTTAATAGTACTGAATAGTTAAGAGTACTTAACTATTTAGGGCTTCCCAGGTGGCGCTAGTGGTAAGGAATTCACCTGCCAATGCAGGAGACTCAAGAGATGTGAGTTTGATCCATGGGCTGGGAAGATCCCCTGGAGAAGGAAATGACAATCCGCTCCGGTATTGCCTGTAAAATCCTATGGAGAGAGGGGCCTGGTGGGCTAGAGTCCATGGGTTTCAAAGAGTTGGACACGACTGAGCACACACTTAACTATTCATAGTAAAAAAAATTCTAGCCGTTTAGAAAAGTGAGATGGGATGTGGAAGATAAACTGTGCCCTCATTCTTTCTTTTTATATATAAAACCACTGTGAGTTCTTTCTTCCAGAATTTTCTATGCCTAACAGGCCTAAACATACATACATACATGTGTATGTGTACTGGTGTGTGTCTCTGCTTGTGTAATGCTTTTGAACTTGAGGTTATCATGAATCTACCATTTGTCCTTCTCTAATCCTGGGTTTTTTGGTTTTTTTTGGGGGGGAAAAAAAATCTAGTGTCTGACACCTCATTACACGTGGCAGCCTGCCACATGGTTCTCTACGCCCATTGCATCTATGGGTAGGTTATTGTGTTAGGCCCCAACACCAGATGTTTTGAGAGGGTCCAGTTTTCTCCAGCTCTACTCAGAAATGCCAGGGATTTCCCTGGTGGTCCAGTGGTTAAGACTCTGAGCTTCTACTGCAGAGGGCACGGGTTCTATCCCTGTTGGGGAACTAAGATCCTGCAAGCCAAGCAGTACAGCCAGAAAATAAAAGGCTGCTGTGAACAAGGACCCTCCTATGCCTCCATAAGGGCTGTGAGAGTCCGGGTCACAGGGTGAGTTCTCAGCCACCACCTGAGTCCACGGACTCGGCACCATGGCCTGCTCCTTGCCAGAGAGCTTTTAAGGAGGGGCTGTCTGGAGGAAGGCCACTGACCTTTCAGTTATCACCAAGACTTAGTATCTGAACAGCCTTTTTGGCTTTAGGTAATTTGTATACATTCTTTCTTGATTCCCTGTGATTTTTTTTTTTTTTTTTGGTCATAAGTGAATCTACATACTGGGCCCTGTTTGAAATTTCTTCCCACCACCAAATCTACTGGATCACTGCAAACCTCCCGTCTCAGATTCATGATAAGACATATATTTAGTGGCTGTAAAACGCGAGTTCTCTTCTGGCACCTGCCATGGCAACCCTCTGGAGTGGGAATCACTTTGCCCATGTTACAGGTGAGAAAACCGAGGCCCAGAGAGGGTAAGCAATTTGCCCAAAGGTACACAGTCAGTAAGAGACAGCCCTGGGGATTCAAACTCAGCCTGAGGGAGCCACAAGCCCAGGCTCTCTTTGTCTTCTGCTCTCCTTTAAGTTTCAGACCTTTATTCTAGGCTCTTGTGTTTTCCTATCCTTATCTGTGATTATATGTGAGTCATTAGCTGGAAGTCCATGGCTGTCATATTCCTTTGGTAAGAACTAACCCCTTCACCTTTAAGGACAAAACAGTTGCCCACAAAACTCAGTTAAGTTAGAGGCTCAGAGCGCATGCTCTGCAATGCTAGTCTCAGCTTCACTTACTTGCTGTGTGACTTCAGGCAAGTGGCTTCACCTCTCTGAGCCTCGGGTCCCACATCTGTACATGTCAGAAGAATTTAGAGGGAGAAGTAAACGTGATGTGCTTAGCACTGGGACTTGTTATCCACTGTGTTGGGGCCCCATAACAAGTCCCCACAGCTCCATTTTATCTTGTGGCTCAATTTGTTTGCTTTGGAACTTTAAGAGCTTGGCCTTCTTTCTTTTACTTCCCCTCTCCTCCCTCTGACCCCCTTCTTCCTGCAAGCTCCTACTTAAACTTCAAAACCCAGAGGAACTATCACCTCTTCTGAGAAGCCTTCCTAGATTTTACTCAGTAGCAGCAGGAGTGTACCTCCTCAGGGTGCCCATGGCACTTTATTCCTTTTCTCATCACAGCAGTTGCATTCTTTCTTGTACCCTTGGTGTCTGGCGCCCATAGGTGCTCAAAGAAGCTTGATTGGCGAGACTTCGGGGTGTGAACGTTCGCTAGTCCTTACCTCTGCTGCATCTTCTCTCGGGCAGAGCTGTTTTTGTCCTGGAGCTGCTTGGTGGCTTTTCAGCCAGCTCTCCACAGGACCGCCCTGGCTCCGCCTGGCTCTCCTGTCACGTAACCTCCTCAAGCTTTCATCGGTGTCTTCTGTCGCCCTCATTTTCTTAAAAGAAATTACCTTCACAAATGTTTTCCTTAGTTACAGAAGTCACCTGGGTGAACATTTCTGTGTCCTTGGAGCAAGGATGAAATCCAGAACCGTAAAGGAAAGATAGGACAAAGCTGAAAAGCACTCTATGGCAAAAACAGAAGCAAAGATCTATTAAAATACAGGCATTTTCCATATCAGTGACAAGCCAATGGGCTAATATGTATGGAGAGAATTTAACCAAATGAGACGTCCACATGCTGCAACTAGAGAAAGCCCACTGCAGCAACGAGACCCAGTGATGCCAAGAATAAATAACTAAATGAATTAAAACAAGAAAAAGATATGGAGATGACTAGAAGAGTGCCTGGCACAGAGGAAGCCCTCCCTAGGTAGTAGCTGGTGTTATCCTGGGGGCGGGGCGGGGAGTAAAGATTAGTATAGCTCTGTTTATGAACATCTGTTAAAAATAAAAATCCATGTATCCTTTGACCCAGCAGTTCCGCTTTCAGGGACTCAGCCTGAGACATGTATGGAGGCAGATCGACAGACATCCACATGAACGGCAGTTCATCACTGAGTTGTTTTCTGTAGTTGCAGACTGCTGCAAGCCGAGCCGAGCACTCGTTCCACGCGCGCCCCCTCACTGACCAGGTGTCCCCCTCTCCTTTCTGCAGGTGGGCCTTTCTGGAGCTGCACACGAACGGCCGCTTCAACGACAGCCTGCAGGCCTATGCCGCGGGCGTGGTGGAGGCCAGCGTGTCCGAGGAGGTAAGGGCCTGGTCGGTCGGGGAACCGGGGACTCCCCCCACCCAACAGGTGTGTTCCCTAGGGAGCTTCGGAGGGGTCTGAGATGTGTGTAGGAGGGTCTCCCCCATCCCCGGCCTTCCATTCAGTTGGGAAGAAAAGGCTCACCTGTTTTGTTAAAGAGTACCCTGGGTATTCTTTGATGCATGTGAAAAACACTTAACGTGTTTCCAAGTTACGAAGCTTAATAATAAAATAAACGCCCAAACTAAACCCTGGAATGGTACTAATACTAATTGAAACCCCTTTCTCAACACCATTCCCCTGCCTCCCCTAGCCCAGAGACACCCACCAAACTGCCACGGGGTGGCTGCCATTCCCATTCCCTTTCATTCATTCATTCATTTTTATTGAGATAGAATTTTCATGCCATAAAATTCACCATTTTAAAATGTGTACACTCCAGTGGTTTTTACTATATTCATAAGGTTACACCACCACAACCACTATCTAATTCCAGAACATTCTCATCACCGCAGGAAGAAACCCCATACCCGTTAGCAGTCACCTCCCTTTCTGCCCCTCCGCCCAGCCCCTGGCAACCGCTAATCTACCTTCTGTCTCTACAGATTGGCTTATTCTGGACAATTCCTATGAAAGGAATCATACAACATGTAGCCTTGTGTGACTGGCTTCTTTCGCTTGTTTTCAGGGTTCCTCCACATTTTAGCATGTGTTAGAACTTTATTCCTTTTTATGGCCAAATAATACCGCATCTTAGGGACAGACAGTTTTATTTACCCACTCATCAGTGAGTGGACTGAGTTATTTCCACTCCCTTCCTTGGGTTAAACTGGTTTTACTACATGTGATGAAACCTTAAAAAAACTTTTGTGTTGCTTTAACTGCTTTGGGGCTGTTTAATAGTGGTAGTCACCCCTTTCAGAAGGCATCGGGAATGGGTGAGGCTGTGGTGTGCCGGCCACGCTCCCACAGGGTGGGTGGGACTGTGACACCCCCACTGGACAATAACTCGGCATTAGCTTGTAGAGTTGAACGCACATGTGCCTTAGGACCCAGTGGCCCCGCTCCTCAGGCATGTACCCTAGAGGTGACCCGAGGGTGTGCGTGAGGGGTTCAGAGCATCCCCCGAGGCGGGAACACTCAAATGCCACCAGCAGGTACCCCCTGGGCAACCAGCTTGTGGTACCCAACACAGTGCAAGATGATAGAGCCATGAAAATGAACGCGCAGTGTGGATGGGTCTGAGATGCGTAGCAGTGAGGGGGACAGAGCCCGTCACAGGAGATGGGGTACGACCCGACAGCCTTCTGTAAACTCCCTCTCCTCTTTCTGACCCCAGTTGCAGTTGAGATCCCCTCCTGGGACCTCATTGTCTGGGGAGAGGTCAGACACTGGGTCAGGCCCTCGTGGTTTGGGGTACCCAGTGGTAAATGAGGCACGATTCCATCTCTCGTGGTTTTCGTAGCCTGAGCCAGGAACACGGAGGCAAGGCCCGAAGTGGTTCTCACATGAGAAACTCCAGATACACGTGCCAGGCGCTTTGCTCACGTTATCTCCCTGAGCTTGCACACCAGCCCCCAAGGGAGGCTCTGAATCAGCTGGGGTGACGGAGGTGACTGGGGTCCTGTGATCTTTGACCCTCCAGCCTGGCCCAGTTCATGTGACCTTGGAGGGCAGGGAGGTGGGAACAGCCTGTTGATGGCTGGTGGAACTGGCACACGATTCTCTTGCCAAGTTCACTGTTGTGTCCTCAGTGCTTGAGACAGGACATAATAGGTGCTCAGCAAAATTGGTCATTGACTGATTGACTACATGTAGATTGCGGTGAGGGCGGGGGTCCCCAGTGGCAAAAGAGGCTTCCTGTAGGACAGACGGTGAATGCTGAAGGCTTTCAGAGGAGGGAGGCGGCCAGGGGCATTGGGCCATGACCGGAGGGAGTAAGAGCTGGCTGGGTGAGAAGGGCCCTTAGGGATAGAAGCCAGCATGGGTGAAGGTTCAGGGGTGTCCCCACCAGGGCTCTTGGACTCTGGAGACCTGGATAGGAGTAGGGGCTCTGAGCCTGAGTGCGGGGCCAGGGGGGTCCTCAGGGAAGAGAGCAGCCCTGCTGCCCCACCCCTGCCCTCACCCACCTCACGCCCCCCACCTCCTGCCCCAGCTCATCTATATGTACTGGATGAACACGGTGGTGAATTACTGCGGCCCCTTCGAGTACGAAGTCGGTTACTGCGAGAGGCTCAAGAACTTCCTAGAGGCCAACCTGGAGTGGATGCAGAAAGAGATGGAGCTGAACAATGGCTCTGCTTACTGGCACCAGGTGGGCGCAGCCCCCGTGCTCAGAGCGCTGGGGCGGCAGGTTGGGTCAGCTTCAGGGACCTGCTGCCACTGCGGCTGCCCCTGTTCCACTGGCCAACCTGTGTGTCACCCACTCCTGTCAGCCAGCCCTTTCTTCCTCTCTCCCTTACCCATCCATCCACCCAGCCATCTGCCTACCCATCCATTCTCACATCTGTCCAGTCTTCCTTCCCCCCATGTCCACCCTTCCCTTTCTCCCTCCTATACATCCATCTATCCATCCACCCACCCATCCATCTCTCTTTCCACCCACCCACCCACCCACCCATCCATCCGTTTGTCCATCCATTTACCCATCCTTGCATCCAGTTTGTCAGCTCATTTGTCCACCCCCCACAAGCCTGTCCATTTTTCACTCTTTTCTTATTTATCCATCTGTCACCTACCTGCCCATCTTAGCCTGGTTGTCAAGATCTTCTGTCCACGCACTTTGTTGCTATATCCTGTTTGGTTACCTGTTATGGTTCATCATCTTCCTGTCTGTCCATCTGCCCTCCCTTCTACCTGTCTAGCCATCTTGCTGACTGACCACCTTCTCTGCTTCATTCCTCATCTTTCTGATCAGAGTCTTGGCACTCATCTGTCTGTCCATCTGTTGGTCCATCCCCTTGCACTGTCTTGGCTCTTCGTAAAGCTTACCAGGGGCTGCCTTGTTGTTCCGGGGTGATGCCACACCTCGTAATGTGGCCTCAGCAGCCCCTGGTACCCTCTCCCTCTCCAGCCTCATCGCCTGCTGACCTTGATCTGTGCTCCGGCCTCTGGTCTCCTCCCAGTTCCTTGAACAAGATGTGTTACCTTTTGCCTTGGGACTTTAGAAAGTGCTGTTCCTTCTGCCTGGAACACTCTTCTTCCCCCGCCTCTGTCCGGCTCACCCCCACCATCCTCACGGCCGCTTGCCCTCTCTGCACTTCCTGGTAGCACTCTTACAAGGCAATCAGTGCCTGTCTTCAGCCGGACTCAGGCCCCATGAGGACAAGGCAAGGACCACATCTGCTTTGTCCGCTGTGATAGCCCTAGTACCTAGCACAGGGGCTGGCACATTGTCGGTGTTTTGTAAGTGAAGGTTTGTTGCATTTTGACAGATGAGGGAATGAATCTATCCTGTTCTGTCCATCTACTTCAGTGCCTGCCTGAACATTTGTCCTTCTCTCCACTCTCCTGTCCATCTAGATGATTGCCTTTCTCCGTCCTCTTGTTCACCTCCGCAGCCACCATCCATCTATCAGTCCTGCCTGTCCATCCATCCTTCCATCTATCCTTTTGTCCATCTGTCTTACAGATGCTTGCTAAGTGCCTGGTGTATGTCCAGCCCAGGCCAAGGCCCCATGGGGGACACAGTGATATACTCCGTGGTTACAGAACAATGACAGTGACAGTGGGGAGAAGTCAGCCACATGAGACCAGTGCCCTGAGCCAGCAGCATAGCCAGTAACAAAACTCAGAACAGGGAGCCATCCACAGTGGGCCAGGGCAGGCTGGAAGGCTTCCTGGAGGAGGTGGCTTTGAGCTAGGCCCTTATGTGGGGGTGATTTGGGGTTGGCACGGAATGGAGACATGCAGTTAGGTGATGGCAGGAGGGTGCTTAGCTTGGAGGGGTGGCTGTGGTTAAGGAGGGGGTCAGGGCTGGCTGGAGGCTGGAGGGTGCATCTGAGCCTCTCTTGCCAGAGCCCCTCCCATTGCAGGAGAAGGTGTGAGCCTGGGGGAGAGGCCTCACCCTCCCTCTGCCCCCTGCCCTCTGCCCCTTTCCCCTCCCCCTAGGTGCGGCTGACCCTCCTGCAGCTGAAAGGCCTAGAGGACAGCTATGAAGGCAGTGTGACCTTTCCAACTGGGAAGTTCACCATCAAACCCTTGGGGTTCCTGTAAGTGCCACCCCTAGAGTGCATAGGGCAGGGGAGAGGGCCACGCACCTTACAGTCAGACAGGCCTGGGTTCCAGTGCCAGCCCTGCCACTTCCTGGCTACGTGGCCTCGGACCGGTTGCCAGGCCTCCCAGTGCCTCAGCTTCCTCCTCTGTGAAATGGGTACATAATGCAGGTGTGGTAACCCTCCAGCACCCTGGCCCTCCACAGCCTGTTGCAGATCTCTGGGGACCTCGAAGACTTAGAGGTGGCCCTGAATAAGACCAAGACCAACCATGCTATGGGCTCTGGCTCCTGTTCTGCCCTCATCAAACTGCTGCCTGGCCAGAGTGACCTCCTGGTCGCCCACAACACGTGGCACTCCTACCAGTACATGCTGCGCATCATGAAGAAGTACTGGTTCCAGTTCAGAGAAGGGCCCCAAGGTGGGTAGATGTGGGTGGATCTGTGTGTGTGGGCATGTCTGTGGGTACACAGTTTGCACAGTGCTAGGAGGTGTGTGTCTTGGCCCTATATACACTGGGGTCACTGTAAGGCCACGCTAAATGTTCATGTTATTGTTAACTAGTTTATTTCCTTTTAATTTTTATTTTACAAGGTATATCAGCAAGCTACTGCTGCATAACAGATCAAATCAATTTAAAACAAAGGTTTAAAATAGCCATTTGTTTTTACTCACAATGTCTGTGGGTGTCTGTGGGTCACCTGGTTGGTTTTGTTATTCTGAACCAAGCCTGCTGATGTTGGCCAGGCTCAGCAATGCTTCTGTATTCAGCTGGGGTGAGCTGGCTGACCTAGGGTGGCCTCATCTGCATTTCTGGGGGTTGCTGTCAGCTGGGATGACATGACAGTTGGGCTACATGGGCGTTCATCCTCCCACAGGCTAGCTCAGGCCTGTTCCTGTGACATCTGGACAGGGAAGTGTGGAAGGCCTCTTGAGGGCCCACTGAAACTGGCACAACATTCTGGTGCTCAAAGCAAGTCAGGTGACCAATTCAGATTCAAGAAGTGGGGAAATAGGGACTTCCGTGGCAGTCCAGTGGTTAAGACTTCACCTTCCAATACAGGGGATGTGGGTTCGATCCTTGGTCGGGAAGCTGAGATCCCACATGCCTGGAGGCCACAAAACAAGAACATAAACGGCAGAAGCAATATTGTAACAAACTCAATATAGACTTTAAAAATGATCCACATCAAAAAACAATCTTAAAAACAAAGCCTACATAAGTCATACATGTATGTTATGGAAAATTGGAAAACACAGCAAAACGATACACACATAGTAAAAGTCATTGGAACACTCAGCAACCCACAGGGGATCATTTAGTTACTTTTTTCCCCTGGACTTTTAAATAAAATGTACCTCATCATTCCATTTGTTTAAACACTTTTTTATCCTAGTAATGTGTCAGTATGTTCTCACTGCCACTAGAGATGGAGAAATACATCTCCCTTGATGCCCTCTTCCAAAATCCCAGACCTCTCCTAAGAGGACAGCACTGATGCCATTTTGGTTTGGATCCATCCAGATTTGGGGGGATGCATTTATACGTGTGCATCTATGGACCTCCTAAAAATTAATAGACTTGAGACTGTCCTGGTGGTCCAATGGCTAAGACTCTGCACTCCCAGTGCAGGGGGCCTGGGTTCGATCCTTGGTGGGGGAACTAGATCTCACATACCACTATGGGGAGATGTTGATCAGAGAGGACCAGCTCCCAGTTAGAAGACAAGTAAGATTTTTAAAGTCTACTTACCCTGAAGCACACCATGGTAACTGTGGTTAACAGCACAGTATTGTATACTTGAAACCTGCCAAAACAGCAGAAATTAAGTGTTTTCACCACACACACAACAAAGGTAACTGTGTGAAATGATGGATGTGTAATTTAGTTGATGGTGGTCATCCTTTCACAGTGTCTACAGCTGTCCCATCATCACAGAGTGCAACCTTAAGCACAATTTTTACTTGTCCGTTATACCTTGGTAAAGCAGGGGATAATCACCACCCCCCCAAAAAAAAACCACAGAGTGTGTACTCTGAGACTTCTGGGTATTTGCTGTCTGAATAACCTTTTTTTTTTTTTTTTGGCAGTAGATTTTTTGCAATAAAAAAGGAAAGCCAAAAGTATAATAATTAAAAAATTATATATCCATTTTGCTACTAGCTTTTATACAAATGGCCTGGTTTCCTAACTCTCAGAAAGAATGGAGTGGGGGGCTTCCTCTGACGCCTGCTGCCCCTCCTGGTTGGATGGAGCTGCGGGGGTCCTCATATGGATTTGTCTGACCAGCCGCCACCCCACCCCAACTTGAGTTCATTCTTGCCCTTGCAGCGGAATCTACCCGGGCTCCTGGCAACAAGGTGATATTCTCATCCTATCCTGGTACCATTTTCTCCTGTGATGACTTCTACATCCTTGGCAGCGGGCTGGTGAGTCATCTTCTGTGTTACCTTTCTCCTCCCCCCCGGGCAGCTTCTCAGCTGGCAGCTCAGGGGCAGCAGGTGGACACCCCGCCAACCGCAGGGTGAGTCCATCCTCCACCAGGGGGTGCTCTCAAAAAATGTAGATCTGAGGCCCCAGACCCAGTGGTTGGCCTGGACCTCTGCATTGTCACCCAGCTCTTGGGAAATTATTGGTCTGGGCCCTTTAAAAATATCCTCTGCCCCAGTGACCTCGTTTTGTGTTTACGTATTTAGGACAAGCCATTTCTCTCTCCACCATGACTCTGCTCTTCCTTGTTCTGCTTTTCCTCTTGTTTTTCACAAAGCCCCCTCTAAACCTGGCCGGGTTCTCTGAATAAATGTTGTTTATTACAGTGTGTTGTTTTTATCGGTTTTCCTGGCTGGGTGCCAGACTCTCAGAAGTCTGTTCCTGGCATCCCTGGTGGATTTCAGCAAGCCCTGTGGTCACCAGGGCAACACTGCAGAGGAGAAAAAAACATCCCTTAAAAAACAGCCTAAAAAAAAAAGAAAAAAAAAAAAACAAAAAACAGCCTAGATGCAGAAGACGCCAGTTCCTGGGGACGGGGATGGAAAGCCTTTTGTTTCTATTAGTCTATGTGAGGAGCAGGGCGTTTAGTCTCCTTAGATGTGGGAACAAGCCTGAGAGGGGCCAGGCAGTGGGTGAGGGGGCCCCCTTGCTGCGGTCTGGGGCTGGGAAAGCAGGAGTGAAGCCTGGGAAGGACAGTGGATCCTTGTAGGATTGATCCCGGTTTGATTCTGTTACCTGAAAAGTGTCCAAACGGGAAATTTACCTTCCACTGGGGTTCTTAACAAAGGTTCCATGGGCTCCTTTGGCCGTCTGGGGAGCTGTGAACCCCTTCTCAGAATAATACTTTTAAATGCATAAACCAACATGTGGGGTTATAAAGGAGACAAATTACATTGACATGCATTTATTGAAATAGTATGTAAGCTTTTAATGTAATATACAGATGTACCTCATTTTATTGAACTTTGCAGATACTGTGATTTTTACAAATTGAAGGTTTTTAACAACCCTGCAAGTCTGTCAACACCATTTTCCCACCAGCATTTGTTCATTTTGTATCTCTGTGTCACATTTTGGTAGTTCTCGCAATATTTTTCATTTTTTCATTATTATTATATTCATTATGGTGATCTGTGATCTTTAATGTGACTAGTGTAATCATTTTTTGTTTTGTATTTTTTCTTTTCTATTTTTAAATTAAGATGCGTACATTGTTCTTTAAGATAACACTATTGCACATTTATATTAGATTATAGGTTAGATGGTATAGGTTAGATAGCATTTGTTCATTTTGTATCTCTGTCACATTTTGGTAATTCTTGCAACATTTTTATTTTTTTCATTATTTTCATTGCAGTGATCTATGATCAGTGATCTTTAATGTGACTGTTGTAATCAGGTTTTTCTTTTCTATTTTTAAATTAAGGTATGCACATTGTTTTTTAAGACATAATACTATTGCACATTTATAGTAGATTTATAGTAGATTGCACACTTACCGTAGATTATATAGATTATAGTATAATGGAAAGGCTTCCCAGGTGTCTCAGTGGTAAAGAATCCAATTGCCAGTGCAGGAGACACGAGTTCAATCCCTGGGTCGGGAAGATCCTCTGGAGAAGGGCATGGCAACCCACTCCAGCATCCTTACCTGGAGCATCCCATGAACAGAGGAGCTGGGCAGGCTGCAGTCCATGGGGTCACAAAGAGTCGGACTTGACTGAGCAGCTGAGCACACACACGCACGGTATCGTGAGAACGACTTCTCTGGGAGCTGGGAAGTAAAAATTCACGTGACTTGCTTCCTTTCAATATTCGCTTCCTTGCGGTGGTCTGAAACAGAGCCTGCCATTTCTCTGGGGTCTGCCTGTAGGTGCTGCTTTATTAACATGTTAAATAAGAAACTGGTTGCAGGTGGGCTCACTGCCATAATTTGGAAGTTACAGGGAGCATACACAATCTGAGTTGTGTGCAGTCCTGTTGTATGGTGGGAAAACATCCATGACATCTGTTGGTGACTGTCTCAGGTACTGCTGATAACATTGGCAGGTTGCCCACATTATCAGTGGAAGATGCTGCATTTCGGTTTGACGGTAGTGCAAATAAAGATATACTATTTCCCTACCCACCTCTGTAGACTGCCTGAGTACTGCTTCTGAGGCCAGTTTAAAAAAAAAGAAACTAGTCAACAGTTCTGAGCCACGATTGGTGTAACAGTGCTCCCCCTAGGTGGCAGCATGCCCCAGCGGTGAGTCAGGTGACCCTTCAGTGCAGCGGCCCCGGTCTTTCCCACAGGTGACCCTGGAGACCACCATCGGCAATAGGAACCCGGCCCTGTGGAAGTACGTGCAGCCCAAGGGCTGCGTGCTGGAGTGGATGCGCAATGTCGTGGCCAATCGCCTGGCCTTGGACGGGGACTCCTGGGCTGACATCTTCAAGAGGTTCAACAGTGGCACGTGAGTGGGCACCGGTGGCCTCTCCACCCAACCTCCCCACCAATACTCAAGACCCTGGGGGGACCTGATGTGGCACCGGGGCCACACAGCCCACCCTCTTAGCAGAGTCCTCTTGTTTCACACGTGGGGAAACGGAGGCATGGGGAAGGAAAGGGTTTACCCCTCTCTCGCAGGCTCCTCCACCCGGGGAAGGCTCCCAGAGAAAGGCCAGGAAGAAACGTGGAACTCGAGCTCTGGGGGCAGTGGGGTGGGCCGTCTGAGGAGGTGGATATGGCTGGATGGGGACCCTGTGAGCCAGAGACACTGGAACCGGATTGGACAGGGTCTTAGGAGGTTGGGCAGAAGAATCCCCCTTTGTTCCATTAAGCACTAGGGAGCCACAGACTCCTCCAGAGCAGGTAAGCAGCGTGATGAGAGAAGAGTGTGAGGATGGCTGGGCAAGCCACAGTGTCCAGGTGATGGTTGAATGGCCGGACACTCCCAGAGCACCCTGGCCACGTGATTCCTGGCTGTGTGTGGCCCTGGGGGCAGCGGCTGGCTGGGGCAGCGGCCCCGGGTCTGTTCAGCTCTCCCTCCTGGGGCCTGGCAGGTACAACAACCAGTGGATGATCGTGGACTACAAGGCGTTTGTGCCCGGCGGGCCCAGCCCTGGGAGAAGGGTGCTCACCGTCCTGGAGCAGATCCCGTGAGTACCCGGAAAGGGGCAGGGCACCCCAGCAGAGGGGACCGCCTCGGTGGAGTCCTGGAGGCCGCTGAAACTCTGTGTGGGAGGGGAGACCTCAGGAAGGCAAGCCTGGAGGAGAAGGCAGCCATGGACTGGGGCTCAAGATTTGGGACATAATCTACCCGTGGGCAGTGGGGAGCCTTCGGGGGTCCTTGAGCACAGCAGTGCCTGCAGGAGCCTTCTCTCTTACCACTTGCACCCCGTCTCTCTTCCTGGTTGCAGGGGCATGGTGGTGGTGGCCGACAGGACCTCAGAGCTCTACCAGAAGACCTACTGGGCCAGCTACAACATCCCGTATGTCCTGCTTCCTGGTATTTCCCACCCTTTGCCCAGTTTTCCATGCAGGGGAGGGGTCATTCCCTGGTGATTCTTTAGTTCCTCCAAGCAACCCACCCTAGGACTTCGCTGGCGATCCAGTGGGTTCAGACTTCGTGCTTCTACTGTGGGGGGTGCAGGTTCGATCCCCTGGTTGGGGAACTAAGATCGCACAAGCCATGTGGTGTAGCCAGCAGGGGGGAGAAAAAAAAGAAACAAAAGTAAAATCATTAACAAAAAAAAGAAAGAAACCCACCCCATCCCCTTCTTCGCCAGGAAAGCCCTGACAGTTTTGGGGTACAATTGTGGGGTTGGCGTCTGTAGGGGATCCCTAGTCTGCACCTGCTGCAGGGTGGTGGGGAGCGGCCTGGCTCAGGTGCCGACCCCTGCCGTGGGTCCCCAGCTGGAGCTGCTTTAACCGGCTGCACAGCCAGCACCCTTTACCCCTCACAGTGCTTTACCTGGGTTATCTCCTTTGATCTGTATAACTACTGCACGTGGTAACCACGGCTCCTGTACCCATTTCACAGATGATGAAACTGAGGCCTTGAGAAAGTACCTAAAGTTCCCGAGGTTCCATAACTGGTCAGTAGTAAGGTCAGAATTTGAACTCCACATCTCTTATTAGAGTCCAGAACTTACTTGGCCACCCCTCCAAGCCTCCCAGCAGCACTAACAAAAGACATGATTATTGTAATCCCGACCGTCGGGGTTGTTGGAGTTCATGTCCTGGCACGACTGCCCTCTTTGCCTCTGAGGCCATGGCCAGGTACAGTCAGTGGGTTTCGTGAGTGACCATCCTCGTCCCCGGCAGGTCCTTTGAGTCTGTGTTCAACGCCAGCGGGCTGCCGGCCCTGGTGGCCCGCTATGGGGACTGGTTCTCCTACGACGGGAGTCCCCGAGCCCAGATCTTCCGACGGAACCACTCGCTGGTACACGACCTGGACTCCATGATGCGGCTTATGAGGTGCGAGGGGGGCACCGGGAGCCCAGAATCGTGTGGTGGCGCTTTATAGTAACTCATTCTAGCCTCCCGACAAGCCGGGGGGCGGCAGAGGGTGATGCATCCGTGACAGCAGGACTGAGGTGTCAGCAGGACCTTGGACAGCCAAGAGCACAGAACATGCCCCCGTGGTCCTCGGGGAGCACGCTCTCCCTCAGGGGTTGCAGAGATCCATCCCGTACTCACAGTGATGTTGAGTAACGAGGACTGTCTGAACTCCAGGAAATGCTGTGAAGGGACAAAGCGGGGTCTCTAGCCTGGCCTGGAGTCGGGGCCCAGAGGGACACCCCGAGGGAGGGATGGCAGAGCCAAGGGCTGAGTGATGGGTGTGGAGTGACCAGCCGAAGGGGGTGGGTGACGGAAGTCCAGGTTGGCACATTGAACGTAGGTGGCTGGGTTATGGGGCTGCTGCTTGGAATCCAGTCTCCCCGCCCCCAGCACGACTGGTGTTTCCTCTCCTTCTGCATCCAGGTACAACGACTTCTTACACGACCCCCTGTCACTGTGCAAAGCTTGCACCCCCAAGCCCAATGGGGAGAATGCCATCTCTGCCCGCTCCGACCTCAACCCAGCCAATGGCTCCTACCCCTTCCAGGCTCTGCACCAGCGCTCCCACGGGGGCATCGACGTGAAGGTACTGGGCTTGGGGTGCTGTGGGTGGGGGGCGGTCAGAGTTGGTGGGGAGCCGCAGGGCCTCCTGGGTTGGGACGACTTAGCCACCTGCCCTCCCCTCACCCACAGGTGACCAGCGCGGCCCTGGCCAAGGCCCTGCGCCTCCTGGCGGTCAGCGGCCCCACGTGGGACCAGCTGCCCCCGTTCCAGTGGAGCACCTCGCCCTTCAGTGGCATGCTGCACATGGGCCAGCCTGACCTCTGGAAGTTCTCGCCCATCGAGGTCTCTTGGGACTGAAGCTCCATCTCTGCTCTGCTGCCTTCTGCCCCCGCTGACCCTGGCGGGGACCACCCAACTGGCTGCCACCCTGCCCTCCCGCCTGCCTTCGGTGCAGGGGAGGGGGCATCGTCGCCCTGCTGTGCCTGGATGGGGACCTGGGCTGGTGCCAGCTTCACTCTCGTCTGGGCGGCCTCCAGGGTGGGGAACAGAACCCCAGGGGGCGTGGGACTGACTGTTTCCCCTGCCTGGGTGATGCTATCCCTGTCTCCCTCTGCATCTCTCTCCTGCTTTTTTCTCTACCACCCTCGGGTCCCTCCGATTCTGCAGGAGAGGCCCCAGTGCCTACATCCCAGCACCATTCCTGCCCGTGGCTCTGGAGCTTTGGCTCCAGGTCAGCATCACTCCTCCCATCCCCACCCCCCGCTCATCTGCTCCTGGGGAAGCAGCTGCCCCTGTTTCTCCTCCTGGAGAACGGAAACTGGAAACGCTATGAAAAACCAAAGTTTCTGGCTACCAGTGGCTGGAGGGGCCCAAGAGTCCTGCTCTCCCCAGGGCCAAGCAGGAGTGTCAGCCCCTTGGCTCCAGCCTCGTGGCCCCCGCCCCCCCAGCTCCAGCCTGCCCCTGGCCTCCGGGCAGGACCCTCAGGCCCCCTGCTACAGGAACCACACTGCAGGCTGTGCTGCCATTAAACATTCTTGGGGCCACGGGGACAGCAGGGTCAGCGTCCTTTCTCTTCTCAGGTTTGAGTTCTGACCGTTCACCCATGCACCCTCCTGTCCATCCTTCTGTCTGTCCATCTGTACAGGCATTCACGTGCCAACCCACCCCTCGTTCATTCGCACGGTCATCCATCCGTTCATCCACCCATCTTCCATTTATCCATCCATCCCCATATCCATCTATAATCCAACTATCAATCCATCTACCCATGCATCCATCCACCCATGTCCGTCCATCCATCTATCCTGTGCTTATTGAACACCTACCTTGTTCTGGGTCCTGTTGTAGGGCTCTGTTAACCACCAAGTCCTACCCCCCACTCCCCGAGTCCTACCAAGGGTGGCGGTGGGGGAAGACAGATCAACGCAGCACAGAGTCCCTCCCCATCCGATCTCACCCAGAGCCTCCACTGGAGACAAGACTCGTGCCATGCTTGGGGAGAGGAAAGCACATAGCCCTGGAGTCAGAGGCCTGGGTTCGAATCCTGTCTCCACCTCTTACTAGTTACGGTACTTAACTTCTCTGTGCCTGCAGTACCTCAACCTTTAAATAGGTAATGATGTGAGCAGCATTTCCCTGCGTGCGTGTGTGTGTGTGTGTGCTTGGAGGAGGGTGAGATTCACTGCAGTGGTGGCTATGACATTGCCCACGTGGGGCCTTACACACTCAACATTCATTCATTAGCAAGAATTTATCACATATTTAAAACATGCCAGGCACTGTTATAAGGTCCTGGGGACATAACAGGTACCAAAAAAAAAAAAAAACTCCATGATGTTTACATTGAGGAAATAGATAAACACAGTGTGTATGATGTTGATAAATGCTCTGGGAAGACAAGCACAGCTGAGGGGTGGGAGTGGGTTTGCTATATATATGTATATGTGTAATTTTTGTGGGGCACATTGCTTGCACTCAGCAGCTTGTGAGATCTCAGTTCCCCAAACAGGGATTGAAAACATGCCCCTTGTATTGGAAGCACGTGGAGTCCAAACCACTGGACCACCAGGGAATTCAACTTTTTTAAGTTCCACATATAGGTAGAAGCTGGAAAGACTCCTATTCTGGGCAGGTTTCTCTGAACTGACTGATATTTTAGACTCTATCCCTCCAGGAACAATTCTGGGGCCAGTCAGCTGGTGACTCCCCATCCCTGCCTGCCCTTTGCGGAGTCCTGTCTCTTGGATTTTTTGTGTAATACTTTTAGTTTTGTATTGGGGTATTGCTGATTGACCAACAGTGCTGTGAGTTTCTGGTGAGCAGTGAAGGGTCTCAGCCATACGCGTGTATCCATTCTCCCCCAGACTCCCCTCCCATCCAGGCCGCCACGTACCATTGAGTGGAGTGCCCTGTGCTGTAGGGCCTTGTTGGTCACCTGTTGTAAATATAGCAGTGTGTGCATGTCCATTCCCCACAAGCCCCCTAACTATCCCTCTCCCCGTCCCTCCCCTGTCTCCTGGGTTTCAGGTACGTGTGCTGTCTCTCCCAGCTGGAAGTCAGCCTGTATCCCGGTCTCTAGGGTGGGTTTTCCCTGAAATCTCACGGTACCTGCTCTTTGTCAAGGTGGGGGTGGGGGCTTCCCCTCTGCAAGCCCATGTGGATCTGTGTGGTAACCCGAGGGGTTAGGGCGGTTCTCAAACATGGGGCTCCTGGTGTCCCAGGGGCTGCTATAGGTGGTGCAGGGGTGTTGGGGGGGCTCCCTCCAGGACCAAGACAGCCCCAGCGGTTCCTCTTCTGTCTGGTTTATAGACTGGCTTCAGTAGGTACTGTCCTTGAAGACAGGGTTCTGTGTTTGGGAGGATTGGCTTGATGTGGACCAGAGATGAGTGTCCGTCATTGGTTCACACACCCCCGGGGCTTCCCAGGTGGCGCTAGTGGTATAAAGAACCCGCCTGCCAATGCAGGAGACATAAGAGACACAAGTTTGATCCCTGGGTTGGGAAGGTCCCCTGGAGAAGGAAAAGGCAACCCACACGGGGTATTCTTGCCTGGGAAATCCCATGGACACAGGAGTCTGGCAGGCTACAGTCCATGGGGTTGCACAGAGTTGGACACGATTGAAGTGACTTAGCGCACAGGAACAAGGGGCTCATGACCCCGCTCCCAGTGGTTCTGCGATACAATTATTCTGTTATCAGGAAGGACTTCCCAGTAGAATGATCTGCCTTCCCAGCTGGTCCTGCCTCCTCTAGAGGCCCGTGTCCTATCCTAAGCCCCTCTCCTTCAGCATGGCTGCCCCTCACTGGCTCCCTGACGTGCAGAGATGCCCCCTCCTGGCACACACTCCCAGCAGGAGTTGGGGTCCCGGCCTGCATGTGGGGCCCCAGGGTTCCCAGGGGTAGGGGGCACGGAGGATATTGAGAGCCGGGGATGACAGCAGGCATGCTGGGGTGGAAGGGAGGGAAGGAGGGAGACAGTCATGATAGAAGAACTCAAAGAGGAGCTTTGTTTCAATAAAAAAGCACTTCTTACAAAAATGAAAATTTGCACAACAGAAAAGGGAATTCCCCGGCGGTCCGGCGGCTTGGACTCATGCCGTCACTGCCGAGGGCGCAGGTTCAATCCCTGGTCAGGGAAATAAGATCCCACAAGCCACAAGGCACGGCTGGGGGTGGGGGTGGATTTAAGAGAAGTGAGTAAGGGTAGGCTTTGGGCTTCCTGAGAAACAAACACTCAGAAGAGTTCCGCTCACAGCCTTGCTGGCTACTGCCTTTCCGGCCGCTCCACACACAGTGGTCTCAGGAGAACCAGGATACCAGCTGGCGTGGGCCATGGGCTCCCAGCAGACACGGGAATAATATTTACAATGAGGCTCTGGGTCATGCTGCAGAAAACTCCATTCCTTCCAGGGTGCATCCCGGGTAGGGGAGGGTCCTCACTGGGGCAGCCCGTCCATGCCCAGCTGTTTCTTGAGTGCCAGTAGCTGCACCAGGCTGATGTTGCTGCCCCCACAGACAATGACCACAACGGAGGACAGAGGGGTGCGGAGTTTCCCCTGTCCTTGCAGCTTCTGAATCACGTTGCTGTAGACGGCGGCCAGGGCGGCCCCACAGGCGGGCTCCACCAGGATCTTCTCGTCATCTACCAGAGCAAGGGGATGGTGGGGGTGGAGCCAGGAAACCACCGGCTCACTGGCGAAGCCATCGGTTATCAGCCCCGGCCACAGACTGGTCCTGGACCACTCCCCCCCCCCACCCCCCATCATTACCCTCCATTGACCTTCTAAGGAAGGCCTGAGTCAGGGCTGAATTTCAACATCAGAGCCAACAAGTTGCTTTGCTTGTAATTTCCTGGGCACTGTGTTAACATCATTTGAGCAAGAGTGCCAGAACTGATGGCCAAACTAACTCCCAGTACGAGAGAATTAAATGGCAGCATAAGTGTGTGTGCATGTATGTGTGTGAGATCCCTGTTCTAGGATGAACCCCGTAAAAGTCCAGCTTCAGGACTCCCCGGTGGTCCAGTTAAGACTCCGCGCTTTCATTGCACAGGGTGCAGGTTTGATCCCTGGTTGGGCAGCTGAGATCGCACGTTGCTGCTACTGCTGTTTACTTGCTAAATTGTCTCTGACTGACTCTTTGCGACCTGATGGACTGTAGCCCTCCAGGCTCCTTTGCCCATGGGAGTCTCCAGGCAAGAATACTGGAGTGGGTAGCCATTCCCTTCTCCAGGGGATCTTCCCGACCCAGGGATCAAAGTCTCCCCGAGTCTCCCACATCGCCTGTATTGGCAGGTGGATTCTTTACCACTGAGCCACCTGGGAAGCTCATGCTATGTGGCAAAAATAAAAAAGCTTATCTGGAAGAGTAAAAGGAGAATCATAAGGATATTTTAAAAAGAGTCCAGCGTAGTCGCAGACTCACCTCTGTCCAACACTGAGGTCCATAGTTTCCTTTTTCACCCTGACTACATTGCTCAGAACCAACATTTTACATACGCAGTTATTTTCCCCCGCTCTTACATTATCTGACTTTTATCATTTGTCCCCTCAGTCTTTCTGTTTTAACCCCTGGACTGCAGTAACTTTCATTAATGGGAAGTTCCACAGAGGGACAGGAGACAGAATTGCGAATGACATCCCTTGGCATGCCAGTCGGACAGCCACATAGTCCTTAGCCAGCAGGGTTGGGTCTCAAAAGGACTTAGCACATACATACCCACAAACTTCTCAAGAGCAGCCACAGCCTCCTGGTCCGAGACAACTTCAGAGAAAATGGGGTGTTCCCGATAGACCTTCATAGCCTGTGCCGTCACGGTGGTCACGCCCAGGGCTTTGGCAACACTGGGAGGGACAAAGATGGAGAAGAGGGGAAAGAGGCAGGAGAGAAGAAGGAGGCAGACCAAGTGATTACCTTCTGGACAATAAGAGGTAAGTGGACATATCTGTGTCTTTAAAGGAAAAGAGTCAGCTTCTGCCCTGACTTCTTCCTGCCAGATGGAGCATGGGTGTGATAGCCAACACCTAAGCAGCTATCTTGGGCCATAAGTCTATGCAATGAGGATGATGGAGAACAAAATCAAGGGTCCTGGGCACCTGGCTTTGTGGAGCTAGACTTTTTTATATGAGAGGAAATAAAGTTCAATTTTGTTTAAACCACTGTTATTTTGGACTCCTGTATAATGTGGCTAAACCTAATGCTAGTCAAACACCATCTGGGAAAGGTTTGGGGCTGGGATATGAACCCCTTGGGAGGAGGAGCTGTGTTTATTCACCACTGTCTCCCCAGGATCGGCCAGTGCCTTGCACATATTAGAGGCTTAATAAATGGTTGGTAAGTTAGTGAGGTGTGTTAAACCCTACCACAGAGGAACCCAATAAAGGACCAATGTTAGCCTTTTCATATGAGGAAGTGTGATGTTCTTGGTACAGACTCACACAGACTTCATTAATAGCCATACCACTCACTGGCTGCGTGACTCTAAGTGACCAAAGCCTCAGTTTTCTCACCTGCAAAATGGGGCTGGCATGGGGATCTACCTGGCCGCCAGCACCGAGCGGGGAGCTCCCCACAGCACTCGCTGAACATAGTGACAGCCTCCCTGGCTGCTTACCTGGTAATGCGGGGCAGGGTGACGAGCTTGCCGGCCTTGGTGGAAGCGTGGAAGCTCTCGGCTCCGATGGTCTCCATGGCGACGATGGGCACATCCCTCCAGCCCACCTCCACCAGCCCCTGGACCACTCCACACAAGAGGCCTCCACCCCCTACTGCCAGCACGATGGCCCCTGGCTTTTCAGTCATCGTCTCCTTCAGCTCCTTCACGATGGATGAGTGGCCTTTCCTGGAGGAGGTGGGTGGGGAAGGGGGGTGCAGGTCAGGGCTGGGCTGCCTAGAGACACCAGGCAGGGGTCCTGAAGATGCCCCTTACCCTCTGTTTGCCCTCATCCCAGGCAGCTGATGGGCCTTGAGGCTGGTCCCCTCAAACCTGACTCCACCCTATTTCCAGCTGCCAACACCTGCATCTCTGCCTGTCTTCCTCTAGCCTCTGGAGCACGGTGAATGTGGCAGCTGGTGGTGCCAGGAAATGAAACCCCTGGAAACAGCCCTCAATCCATTATAGGAATTAAGAATTATGGGAATTGATGCACAGACACTCCTTGCCCAACATCCTCTACCACAACCCTGGTTCATGGTCCATGCTGGCTCTCAGGGGCCCCTGGGGGATTAAGCTCCTGCTGACCACAGTGGTCACCAGTCCATCAGCACCCTTCCTTCCTCATCTCGCTTCCCCAGTACTCAAATGAGTCACCCCCCATGTCAAAGGCTTTCTCTGAAATCTTTGTCTCGGGGTTCTGCTTCCGGGGGCCCCAATGACACACACACACACACCCCTGTGTATCTGAGCCCAAGCATTTGCCCATGGTCCAGGAGAACGGGCACTGAAACAGATAGATGTGGGCAACAGCGGCCGTGCCTGTGTGTGTGCTTCTATGTGATGTGCACACACGTGTACGCTGCTGTGCGTGATGGTGTGTATTGGGGAAGGTATCCACTCAGTGATGTAGAGGCATGGTCACTACCCACCCTGGTTGACTGGGGGCTCCACATACCAGATGAGGGGGTCGTCAAAGGGAGGGATGTAGACCCAGCCTGAGTTGTTTTTCTCGAGGTCCTTGGCCACCCTGATGGCTTCATCCAATGTCTGCAAGATCACAGAGAAGGCGCGAGGGGTGAGGGGCCGGCAGACTTGGCCCTGTGCACCGGTGCCCTCTGTGGCCCCAGCTCCAGGTTGGTACTCACCTCACCCACCACTCTGACCATGGCGCCCTCATTCTTGAGCCGCTGGATGGTGAGGGCAGGCGTGGTGCTGGGCACGACAATCGTGGCGGGGATGCCCAGCTTCCTGGCTGCATAGGCAGCTGCCATGCCTGCATTGCCCGCTGCCAGGGGTGGAGGGTAGACAGTGTTAGTGGGGTTGAACCCTCCCTGTGTGAGGGCTGGCCGCCCCCTGGAATTCTAAACTGGGACTTCTGCAGATGTTTGCAACGGCTCATTAGTTGCTGGGGAAACCAGGTCTCAGAGAGGTGGAGCACCTGACCCCAGGACACACAGCAGGCCGCTTACCTGAGGAGCAGACGAAATGTTCACAGCCTCGTTCAGCCCACTGTGGAGACAGACAGGGGAGAGGATCAGGCCTGACATCTTTTCTCCCCAAAGAGACTAACTGGTTCAGGGAAAGATGAAGGAGAGGAAGGTCACTGATGGCTCTGGGATCAGTCCACGAGGGGACCGTCTGGGCTGACACCCTTTAACCAGGGTAGGTGCCAATGGAGGGTGCCTGTGGGGAGTCAGCAGGGCCCAGCCTGGAACTCCAAGGATGTCACATGGCAGTGAGTGGCCCTGCCCTGTCCACAGAGGGCATCTGCCCGGATGAGGCTGTACCGTTGTGCAGAGGTGTCCGATGCCCCGGATCTTGAAGGAGCCGGAGGGCTGGGCACTGTCTATCTTGAGATAGACCGTGGTGCCGGCCACTTTGGACAGGGTCATGCTGTCACGGACAGGGGTCTCCTCGTGCAGGGGTCTTCGCGACATCACCGCTGGGAGAAAAGAAAGAAACCCAGAGGGTCAGGGGAGTTGGCCCTGGCGTCAGCTGCTGCCACTCAGTAGCAGTGGGGCTGGGAAGGACCCTGTCCCTAACTTCCCAGAAGGCCGAGGACAAGTGCCAGATTATAGCATCCTGGAGACCTGAGTTCAAATCGCAACTCGGCCACCAACTTGTTATCGGACAAGGAATCTCCCTTTGGCCTCAGCTGCCTCATCTGTAAAATGGGCAGAGGTCATCTTCTCTCCCCCTTACCCCTGCCCACCTCCAACCCACCCCAACACACACATACATTATGCTGGGAAGCTATTAACATCAGAAATGACATCCAGGGAATTCCCTGGAGCTCCAGTGGTTATCACTCTGTGCTCTTATTGTTGAGGGCCTGGGTTAGATCCCTGGTTGAGGAACTAAGATCTCACAAGCCGAGAGGCATAGTCAAAAAAAGAAAAATAACATCTAGACCTTGCAGCTTTTGAAGACTATGAGGAAGAAATAGACTTGTGGGTGTTTACTCAGAATGAGTGGCAAGATTATGGCTAAAACCCAGGGGCAGGATATCAGGTCTAGTTTGTGCAAAAACTGCAAGGATACACATGCACACCCACAATCCATGTGTACAAGACATCTCAGAAAACACACAAGAAACCCGACAGGGTGGGGGGCCCCTGGGGAGGACAGGCACATGGCACCTGCTTCTGTACCATTTCAATATTTTGCTGCTTGCCTGTTTATTACATATTTAAATTACACATCTTTAAAAACTAATCTCTGAGAGTGAAGTAAGTCAGAGAGAGAAAAGTGAATATCATATATCAATGCATATACATGGAATCTAGAAACATGGTAGTGATGAACTATTTGCAGGGTAGGAATAGAGACTCAGACACAGAGAGGACTTGTGGACCAGCAGGAGAAGGAGAGGGTGGGATGAACTGAGAGAGCAGCATTGACATATATAGAGCACCGTGGGTAGAATAGACAGCTAGTGGGGAGCTGCTCTATAACACAAGGAGCTCAGCCCAGTGCTCTGTGATGATGTGGGGGGTGGGATGGGGCAGGGGGTGGGACGGAGGTTCAAGAGGGTGGGGATATATGTATACATATAGCTGATTCAGGTTGTTGTAAGGCAGAAACCAACACCACATTGTAAAGCAACTATATTCCAGTAAAAGCTTAATAAAAACAACTAATCTTTGGAAAACCCTGTACCCATTAGGGGAAGCTTTTTATTATTGTTATTTTTTTGTAATAACTATTATATTGTTTAACAATCACTTATAAAGTGATTACCAGGACTTCCCTGGTGTTCCAGTGGTTAAGAATCTGTCTTGCAAGGCAAGAGGATATGGGTTCGATCCTTGGTTGGGGAACTAAGATCCCACATACTACAGAGCCACTCAGCCGGCACACCACAACTAGAGACTACAAGCCACAGGAAAATATCCTGCATGACACAAAGATGCTGTGTGCCGCAAGTAAGACTTGAGGCAGCCACACAAGTAAATACATAAATATTTAAAGTGATTACCATGTGTCAGGCATTTTCTTAAGTTTTACAGATATTAACTCACTTAATCTTTCTACCAGCCCTAGGAAATGCCCAGGATAATTGCCTGTTATTGTCCAGTTCTCCTGTTGAGGAAACAGGCTCTGATTGTGTTTTCCAGATTGATCGCTGAGCAATTCCTACCCCTCACACACCGCTTATGATGCAACACTGAGGCTTTTCTAGGTGGGAGGTGGGGTCGGGTCTACACTTCTTTCCCTTGAATCCTGGGTGGGGGGGCGTGGGGGGAGGGGCTGTAACTGCAGGGAAATGAACACTACGTGACTCCCTCCAAGCAGTGGTGTGCTGGTGAGTGTTTAATGATAGCCTCGCCAAAGGGGAAGAAACCTTGACTTCTAGGGTCTGCACGTCTGTGACATTTCAAGCTACTAACAGGATGTCACTGAACAGGGAGTCGGGAAGAGATGGACACTGTCCACTACTGACAGCCCTGTGTCATCTGGTTGTAGCCCAGCATGGCTCTCAAGGCTGGGTCATATAAGGCGACCGAGCTGCCAGGCAGCTGGGAAGCTCCCTGTATGAACCCAGCCCCCAAGATGGGAACAAGCCCTGGCGGCATGCCGGGGGCCCCAGGGAGGTGTGCCACCTAACATGTCCAGCTGATATCCCAGCTGATGGGCAGACATGGCGCCTGACTTAGGGAAGACTCTAGCCCAGCTACCGTTATCACACTGCAGCCCCTGAGAAGAGACCCAAGTGAGAACTGCCTGGCTGAGTCCAATCAAGCCCCAGCATCACGACAGAAAGAATCCACCTAGCATGGGTTCGATCCCTGCTCTGGGAAGACTCCACGTGCCGAAGCTCAGCTAAGCCCCTCTGCCACAACTACTGAGCCCGAGTGCTCCAACTACTGAAGCCTGCCTGCCCCAGAGCCCATGCTCCGCAACAAGAGAAACCATCGCAACGAGAAGCCTGCACACCGCAGCTAGAGTAGCCCCCATTCACCGCAACCGGAGAAAAAGTCTGAGTGCACCCAGTGCAGCCAAAAACAAAGAAACTAATTAAATTTTTTAAAAAAGAAACTGCAGTATTGGCTTGTCCAAGGTCACACAGGGAGTGACTAGCGGAGAAGGGATTCTTGTATTTTATGGCCATGTCTCAAGGCTTGTGTGATCTTAGCTCCCCAATCAGGGACTGAATCCGTGCCCTCAGCAGTGACAGCACGGAGTCCTAACCACTAAGTCGCAATGTAATTACAAAGAGAAGAGGTAAGATTTGAACCAGGCAGCCTAGGCCCAGAGTCCAAGCCCTCTCCAGGACACAGTAGGTGGGGGGTGGGGGTCTGTCTCCATGGATTCTGGGTGGCTGAGAACCTGAGACCCTGCATGCCACATCTAGCTAGAGTCCCTGGGAGATCCCCTCGTGACACAAAGATCCTGTGTGCTGCAACTAAGACCCAACCAGCCAAATAAATAAAAATTAACTCTTATTAGGACTGGGATTGTGGTTAAGACTCCCCGCTTCCAATACTCACAACCACCTTAAGAGGAAGATTCTGTTATTATTACCTCCACTGTACAGATGAGGAAACCGAGGTACAAAGCTGGCAGTGAACCCAGCCAGTCTGGCTTCAACGTATGGGTTTTTACGCTTATCTGACTCTTTCTCCCTCTTTTGCCCAGGGAAAACCCAAGGTGGCCACAGACACTCCAGTCCTGCGGATGGAGGTGTGGATGGATAGGGCGGCTTACCGGGGAAAGGTGAGGAGCTGGGTGTCTGAGCGTCAGGCAAAGGAGGAATAGACTGGAGATGGTCTAGATGGACCGACTGGATAGCCGGTCCACAGACATGACGAGTAGGAGGGGTAGCGTGTCTTCAGAATTGTCCCAGGTACTAACGGGTCCGGGCTTTATTTCCCTGGGGCACCTGAGCAGCCAATGGGACACCAGGGCCGGCCACACCCCCGCCAGGCCCCGCCTCTTGGCTCTAGACTCTAGGGGCTTCCCGGAAGGGAACGCCCCTCTTTCTAGCAGGGTCTTTCTCCCAGTCCCGCTAGCCACGCCCCTTCTCCACCCTCAGCATCATTTCAGGACAAATACCTATTTCACCACAGCTTTTAGGAAGCTGCCAGATTGGGTGTGAAATAATGCACTTATCTTTGCTAGCACTTGCTTGGCGCTCAGTGGGCAAGAATCAAACCAGGGAGGAAGTGTATGCTATTATTATTCCCATCTTACAGAAAAGGAAACTGAGGCATACAGTAAGAGGGCTGAGCTAGCTCTTGGACGCAGCAGGGGAACCCCCAAATCTGCAATCTGAACACAGGTTTTAAATTTTATTTATTTATTGAGTTTAGAAACTCACACATTCGTTTGTGCTGTAAAGCAAAAGAAAAATGATGAATAGTCACCCTTATGATGCAACAGGACTGGTTCTTAACCATATAGAGAAACACAAAAGTGCTTTTTTCACCTGCTTTTAGTTTCAGTTTCGTAACAGCTTACCAGAACTTATTTCCCCATACATGCATGACTAATATTCTTTGAATTCCAATGACATTAAACTATTTCATGCCCAGGTCATGGATTAAGAATAGAACTATCATGTCAATGTACATGTATTTTAAAATCTTTTGGCTGCTCAGCAGGGCACGTGGGATCTCAGTTTCTCGACCAGGTATGGAACCCATGCCCCCTGAATTGGCAGCGCGGGGCCTTAACCACTGGACCATCAGGCAAATCCTGTGTCAGCATATTTTTAAGCATTAAAAGGAGAACTCAGAAAAATCCCAAGTGTCGTAAGTATTGGGGATATAAAATCTCAAAGTGAAATTCAACAGGAAGAAGGACATGATAAGCCACTGATATTACTTAATCACAAAGGCTGAACACAATTTTTTAAATTGCCTTCCCCTGTTATCTTTTATAACTCCTTTGTCCTAAAGGAGCAATATAGGTAAGACCTAGAAGGGTCAGGGTTCCTGGCTCTGCCCTTTACTAGATGTGTGGCTCTAGGTGAGTCACATTGTGTCCTGGGGACTCTGCTCATCTGTAAAATGGGGATAATATTAGTATCACCCTTATAAGATTAGATGACACCATAATATATTTATGTAACAGGTCTGGTGTCAGGTGACTGTTCAATAAGTGCTGGCAGCCATCACTACCCTCATTACCGTCATCTTCATCACAGAAGTGGAAGATTTTGCCTCCTTGCCCCGTGCCAAGCCTCGGTCTGTGTGTGTAGGGGTCTGTATGTGGTGCAGCATGCATGAACACCACACCCACATGCATCCCGTTGGCTTTCTTCCTGGCCCCTTCAGCAAAGGTTTCCTGTCCCACTAGCCAGGACAAGAATATGGATGATATAGAGGGCAGTGTGCTGTGCTTCATCACTCGGTGGTGTCCAACTCTTTGCGACCCCATGGACTGCAGCCTGCCAGGCTCCTCTGTCCATGCGGATTCACCAGGCAAGTACTGG